TAGCGCTCTGGCGGGAAGGTAAACGGCGTTTCTGTGTGCTGCTCTGGTTTGCCAGAAGCAGCTTAGTCATGCTGGCCACATGATCCGGAAGCTGTATGCTGGCTCCCTCGGCCAATAAAGTGAGATGAGCGCCGCAACCCCAGAGTCGGCCATGACTGGACCTAATGGTCAGGGGTCCCTTTACCTTTACCTTACTTCAGCATAATCCAGAGGGCACCATGTTGGTGACCCCAACTTACAGGTAGAGGCTTGGCTTGCATATAAGCCCAAGCCTGAACCATGGCTAAGCATAAACAGGCAAGTGTGCAGGTACTCAGAGGAAAAATGGTACCCCTTTCACTCTCTGCTATTGTTATGGTCTCCAGAGCTAAGCCATGGTTTAGCTTAGTGTTAAACCCAAACCTGGGCTCATTTTTTTCCTCAAAAGCTGAAGTAAAGCTTTGTTCTTGGTTCAGCACTCTTATTTTGTCTGGGGGAGACAGGGCACAACTACCAGTTTTGTAATCCTCCAGCCAGTACCCTCGGGGGCTGGGATTCCAGTCCCTGGTGATTTAAACCTCTCGCCAAAGTCCTTACCAACAAGAAGGGTTGCTGGTCTGGCTTAGCGTTATCCAGTCCTATTTAAAATGGAAAGTCGTGATAAGGAGCAACAAAAGGTCAGGCTGTGAACTTCTCTCTCTCTTTCTCGCCTTAAAAAAAATGAAATTACTTTTTTGGAAGTTGCATGATCTACCTCTCCTGTGCTAAAGTATATAATAAATATGATTTGGGGGGGGGGGATACTGGGAACTTTGTTTGGCTATGCAAGAAGGATCTATTTGGATTCCTACAGTAAATATTAATTTTATTTGGATAAATTTATTTACACTTCTTTTTAGTTATGCTGCATATTGCATGACCCTTGGTGGTCCCTTCCAACTCCATGATTCTACTTGCAGTCCTATGTGCACTTACTATTGAACTCAGTCAATGTAACTTCTGAGTCAACCTGCATAGTCTTATATATGTCTGCATATCAAAGAACCAGTGCCGGATTTATGTATAAGCTAAACAAGCTATAGCTTAGGGCCCCACTCTCTTGGGGGCCCCACAAAAATTTAAAGGGGAAAAAAACTGGATGTACATTTCCAAAATATAAGATGAAAAAAATAAATAAAATAAAACCTACTTACAGCAACAGTGTTTTGTGTTGTGTAGGTCCATAAATTACAATATAGCATATATTCAACACAAAAAACAGCGACAATTTGTTGTTGACAAATGACAGCTGGACATATAAAGGGCCCCATTACCTTCAGTAGCTTAGGGCCTCGTCAAACCTAAATCCGGCCCTGCAAAGAACTATGCTTAATTCAGCTGTGGAGCCTGTCAAATACAATGAGAAGAATGCAAATAATTCAGAGAAAACAGAATATAACAACTATGTAGCTGAGATGCCTATTTTCCCTGCTTCCTTATTTCTGCCATCTTCATATGTTTTGGATTTATTTCCCGTGTATTATTGTTGCAACGTTGAAAGGGGAACCCTTTGATCCCACTAAGCAGTTGTTTTTCAGAGAGGGACTGAACACCCGACTTACACTATTTTCACAGTGCTATCAACTTCCTCTACTGATCTGGGCGATTCTCAAAAGACAGCATTGCTTAATACTGCTCCATTTGATTTTTTTATAGCACTGTTTTTAATAGTAATGCTTTCAGACAAAATACTTTTATAGAAATACTTGAAATGCTTAATAGCAACATAGCATTTTAATATTCCTTATTTCAGAACTTCAGAAGGCCAGAATTCTGTAGCAAAGATTCCCTACCCCACCCCCTGCAAAAAAGGGATAATATTCCTAAAATGTCAACATCAGCGATAAGAGCATTAGTGGAGTATACAAGCTTGCAGAGAAACCTGGCAAAATTCACCAGTATAGGAAGACCTATATAGAGCTTTCAAGTTTCCCCTAGTTCTTCTTCAGTTAGAAAAGATGGTTCATACAACCATTTATAAGACGGAAATATACCCCAAATTTACAGGTGTCATGGTTGTTATTTTACTAGCAATATTCAGGAGATGATACAACGGATTTTCTTAAAATCATTCACTAAAGAAAACTGAGGGCGTAGAATTCAGTGTGGTGACTTTTAAACAACAACAACAACATCACATGAATTATCTTTGACCTGGACTTAGCTGGATATGAGCACATGCACTAAAACTAATGTTAATAACAGCAATGGAAACACAACAAACATTTATAGAAGGACAGAAATCTAGCTTCAATGTTTACTGATCAATGTTTGATTTTGCACACATACTGATGCTAATGCCTTTCTAGAATACTGGCTACCTGTGTTGTTATATCAAGTAGCATCCTTTATTGAACTAGAGAATAATAATAATAATAATAATAATAATAATAATTTATTTATTTATACCCCGCCCATCTGGCTGGGCTTCCCCAGCCACTCTGGGCGGCTTCCAACAAAATATTAAAGCACAGTAATCCATCAAACATTAAAAGCTTCCCTAAACCAGGGCTGCCTTCAGATGTCTTCTAGAAATCTAGTAGTTGTTCTCTTTTACATCTGGTGGGAGGGCGTTCCACAGGGCGGGTGCCACTACCAAGAAGGCCCTCTGCCTGGTTCCCTGTAACCTGGCTTCTCTCAGTGAGGGAACCGCCAGAAGGCCCTCGGCACTGGACCTCAGTGTCCGGACTGAACGATGGGGGATGGAGATGCTCCTTCAGGTATACTGGACTGAGGCTGTTTAGGGCTTCAAAGGTCAGCACTAACACTTTGAATTGTGCTCAGAAACGTGGGGCTTACTCCCAGGTAAGAGAGATCAAGGTTGTATTTTAGGCAAGTGCCTCTCCTGCAAACTGGCTTTTATGAAGCAGTAACCACATACTTTCATAAGGGAAGCACTTTTGGGGATGAACTAGATGGTGAATGAGATAGGGACAAGTCATGCTCACCAAACTGGTATTTAGAAGGAGTGCAGTAATGGATTACTAAAGTCACTCTTTTCTCAGTCGCAGTCAACCATACTCGTGGTACAGTTGGTGATCTTACAGATCACAGGAATCTGCCTTATGCTGAGTTCAGATCCCGGTCCATCTAGTGTACTATTGTGTATACTGACAGGCAGTAGCTCTCCAGCAGTTTCAGAGTCCTTTCCTAGCCCCAAAGAATTCAAAACACAAAACACTTTTAGGTATGTGACCGGAAATAAGTGCTTGCAATATACAGTGGTACCTCTGGTTAAGTACTTAATTCGTTCCAGAGGTCCGTTCTTAACCTGAAACTGTTCTTAACCTGAAGAACCACTTTAGCTAATGGGGCCTCCTGCTGCCGCTGCACCGCCGAAGCCCGATTTCTGTTCTTATCCTGAAGCAAATTCTTAACCTGAAGCACTATTTCTGGGTTAGTGGAGTGTGTAACCTGAAGCGTATGTAACCTGAAGCGTATGTAACCCGAGGTACCACTGTACACTTGTTGCTATACCGAAATCACTTGACTTTCCATGTTGAAAATCCACAGCTAAATCCACCCTACGTTTTGCCTGCTTCTTATTTTGCCGGCTGTTCCAAAGCTCCATGCCTTTGTGCTTCTGTTGTCACAGGGTGACTCAGTTACTCCTTCCTGAAGCCCTGTTTCTTTCTCCAGCAGTATGACTCAATTAATTCCCTGCCACTCTCTCACACAACTGGCCGTCTTGGCTTCAGTTCTCTGTTTCAGGAGCCAGGCTATGTTCCCTAAACACAGACATGGACAAAGCCATTCACCTTCAAGTCTCATTCTTGCCTTTATGGCTGGGGGACCAAACTTATCTCTTTCTGAGGAGATAATCCTTCAGTCTAGAGTTTGTACTCTTGTCATTTGCCTCACAATAATAGCTTTGTTTTCAGGAGGATTGATCCCTTGTGTTATTGTATTTTATGCAAACTTGACAAGTTTCCTTTTTCATAGGACTGAACTAGAACACGAAGGAGAAAACAAAACATAATTAACTGAGCATTCTTCTAATTACTGAGTAATCTTCTAATTACATTTTCTGAATGGGGTATGATTTGTACTAATTCTTCCTACACTAGTGGTAAGGTAAAAAGGTAAAGGATCCCTGGACAGTTAAGTCCAGTCAAAGGCGACTATGGGGTTGCAGGGAGCCGGCGTTTGTCCACAGACAGCTTTCTGGGTCATGACTAAACCGCTTCTGGTGCAATGGAACACCGTGACGGAAACCAGAACACACAAAAATGCTGTTTACCTTCCCACTACAGCGGTACCTATTTATCTACTTGCACTGGCATGCTTTTGAACTGCTGGGTTGGCAGGAGCTGGGACAGAGCAATGGGAGCTCACCCCGTCACAGAGATTTGAACCGCCAACCTTCTGCTCAGCAAGCTAGTGGACCAGTAGAACATTCCAGTATAGTAAATTTTCATTTTTATTGTGCCCCTGATAGGCCAGAAATGGCTTTACCCCCTCATGCTGATGGGACACACCATTAGCACAAGGGTAAAATCAAGTGGAAATGGTACATGGTCGATAGAGCTTGGCTTAACACCCTAAGCCCACTCATGACTCACCCGTTACCTGTGAAGGTGTCACATTAAGCCTTTGAAATAGGCAACATACAGTAATTCCTATTTGAGTTTATGAAGATGCCCCCTATGACTTCCCCCACCTCTCTTGCCCCTCCACATTGAAGGGCAAAGGTCTGATTAATGTCATTGCCAAGCACAGCACTAGAAATATGTAAGTTCAAGCCTGGTAAATGACTCAGATCAAGATGTACACCATAGGACTCCATGTGCAATGCCCTAACAGAGAGTTTTGCATAAACAATAAGCCAAGGACAACAGTGAAATAGAAGAGTACATAGATAATATTTTTATTCTTAGAAAAACTTTCCAGGTACTCTGTTTCTGGACTACAAAAACAAATGGCTACTGAGAAGTTCAGCTCAGCTCCTTGCAAGGATAAGACACTATACAAAGATAAGCAGAATGGCGTTATCATCAGAAAGGGGTGTGTATAAAGTAGAACTCAAAGCAGAACTCTTGAACATCTTCATCTCTTCCTCCCAAGCATCCCAAAGTTTGCAGAATGTGCAAACACCCTATGGTAGCAGAGTAGTACTATCTCTCCCTAATATGTGGACACACTATTTAGTGACCAAGCAACTATTCCTTATTCAACAGATTGTTGCAGAGTGTCCTACACACAAGACACTGTACACGAATGGAGTTTGCACTGGGTGGGGGCTGTTGGCTACACCTGCAAATCCAAGTGAGCTTTGCTATGTACTTGTAAATTTTTGCATGTACAGATTTGGATCCTGCAAGGAAGAATCCCTTTCCTTTCTTTACTCCACTCCACTTTCTAGTACTGTATTCTTGGCCAGTGAGTTATGGTGTATTCTTCCTTGCAGGACCCGAACTAGGGCGCATGGCAACACAACAAACAGTAATCAGAGACAGAGGGACTGGGTTGTGAGTTGCTGTTGTGTGGTGGTTGTTTTTTTAGTAGGTGTGTTCTGCTGCAACATGCCATTGATGCAATAACAATTCATTAGCAGTCCACACCTGATTACACTCTATTAGTGGCTTTGTGACGCTTCCTCAGTGTTACGGCAGCATTGTACTCTTGCACTGTGGCACAACAAAAGCATTACAAACAATCCTGCTGTATTTGTGATATAAAAAAGTTGTAGGATTTCAGCAGGAAGTTACGGGATATGAACGGATTGGAGATGAAGCAGTATTGCCATGCTAAAACTTTCCTAGATACTAATGACATCACAAGCAAAATCATGCCTCAGTAGCATATGCACACAAATCTTCATGAGCACACAATGAAAAGGATTTCTGGAGAGGCCCAGAGTCTAAATGAACTCCGTACCGTGGATGCAATATTAGCCAGACCCTCCAAGTGTCCCTGTTTTCCTGGGACGTCCCTGATTTAGAGAAGCCACCCCAGTTTCTGAATGAATGAATGAAACTTTATTTGCGTCAGCCATCGGCCATAGCAACAAAAGATCATTGTGATATACACAGAACAAAATAAAAAGTCGATTATATAAAACACAGTTTAGGGTCCTGAATCAGCAGTCAAGTAGTGGACCTTATTCTGATTGCCCCAGCTAAGAACCTTGCAACATTTGCTGTCATCTGCTCCTCTTGATCTGCCAGGAGAAAAGACACTGTGGCCGTGGTTGGGTGAGCCGGAATGGACAAAAAAAGAGGGGTGATAATCTCGTTCCTCAGGTCTTTATAAAGAGTGCAAGCCAGGAGGGCATGCACCACTTATTCGGTGCTGCCATTTCCGCAGGGACATAAGTGTTTTTTGTGTGGAATCTGTTGGAATCGTCCCTCGAGTAAATCCAGTTTCTGATTTGATCCTGGAATGTCTCATTTTTCCTTAGGATGTCCCTATTTTAATTGGAGAAATGTTGGAGGGTATAAAGTTATCCATCCTCCAAGCTATCTGAAGGCAATGCTGTATAGGGAAGGGTTTTTTTAAAAAATGTTTTATTATGTTTTTATATACTGTATTTTTCACCCTATAGGGCGCACCGGCCCATAGGACGCACCCGGGGTTTTTTGGGGGGGGGGGAATGAATAAAAAAAAATTATTTCCCTCCCCAGCCACGGGGCTGGGGCTGGGGCGGGGGAAGCCCGAGCTTCCCCCGACCCCAGCCCCCAGAACAGGCTGCTATCCGCAAGCCTTGCGAGCCCGGCGGCAACTCCCAGCAGGCTCGCAAGGCTTGCGGGCAGCAGCCTGCAGGCCGAGCACGGGCGCCCTCCGGAGGGCGCCCCGTGCTTCGTGCAGGTGTCCGCAAGGCGCCCCGTGCTTCGGCCTGCAGGCTGCTGCCCGCAAGCCTTGCGAGCCCACGGGAACTCCCGCCGGGCTCGCAAGGCTTGCGGATAGCTTCCTGAAGCCTGGAGAGCGAGAGGGGTCGGTGCGCACCGACCCCTCTCGCTCTCCAGGCTTCAGCGAAAGCCTGCATTCGCCCCATAGGACGCGCACACATTTCCCCTTCATTTTTGGAGGGGAAAAAGTGTGTCCTATAGGGTGAAAAATACGGTATGTTGGAAGCTGCCCAGAGTAGCTTGGACAACCCAGTAAGATGTGTGGGGTATAAATAGTAAAATTATCATTATGGAATGGGACATCCCTACTTTCAACAGTGAAATGTTGGGGGGAAATGTATGCATTAGCTCCCCTCGAGGGTGAATTTTGCTGCCTCTGTTATGAGGAATTTCTTTTTATTATTCTTTGATCTTAAAACTCCATTCACATTCATAATCACAAATAATAAAAACAACTCAAGATTCTTTTGCATCTCAAGACTTCCCTCCTCCCCTCTGTGGGTTCTTTGAGTCCCTTTTTTTTTTTACTGCATATTATAAGTTCAACTAATTTACAATCCTCCATTATACCCAAAGTCTATGTAACATTGCAAGAGTTATTTAAAACCTGCCAAAGAACTCAAGTGTTTACAGTGGTCTCTCAACTATAATGTAAATTTGTCCCAATCTTTATTGAAGTTCTGACCCTCCTATTAGGAGGAATTTCTAACAGGTGAGTAGGGCTGGGGCATATGGAGTGAAGGAGCACACAGATGGCAGCACTTGTATTTTCAAACTCACCTTGACCAACCCAATTCTTTTCCAGGACCAATTAAAAGGGCTTAGTTGACCTAAAAAAACTCTGAAGTGGCTGGGGAACTCAACACCTAAAGAGCTGCTTTTTCCCAGTTAGTAGCAGACAGCTGAGTTGCTGCATCATACCAGGATGACGAGGGAGAGACATGTGGAGGCAGCATGGCTGGTGCGGTGCAAGCGTGCCACTGGAGCCAATCTAGCGCTTCTGCCAGGGTGTCTGCACTGCGCCAACATTGCTGCCACCACTCAGACCCAGTATCCTGCAGCAACTCAGCGAGAGGAAGGTCAGGTGAACTTTCTGTATGTACTGTACCTGCTCATGCTCTATGATCGCTAACAGAGGCCCTTCTCTGAGTGCCCCTCAAAATGATAATGTCAGTGAGGGAGAGGGCATTGTCAGCAGTGCCCCCCATTATGTGGAACGCTTTCCCTAGAAAGATTCATCTGGTGCTTGTGTGTGTGTGTGTGTGTGTGTGTGTGTGTGATGCAGGTGGCATTGTGGTCTAAACCACTGAGCCTCTTGGGCTTGCCAATCAGAAGGTTGGAGGTTTGAATCTGCACAACAGGGTGAGCTCCTGTTGCTCTGTCCCAGCTCCTGCCTACCTAGCAGTTCCGAAAGCACACCAGTGCAAGTAGATAAATAGGTACCACTGTGGCGGGAAGATAAACTGTGTTTTCGTGCGCTCTGGTTTCCGTCATAGTGTTCCGTTGAGCCAGAAGCGGTTTAGTCATGCTGGCCACATGACCCGGAAAGCTGTCTGTGGACAAACGCCGGCTCCGTCAGCCTGAAAGCGAGATGAGCGCCACAACCCCATAGTCGCCTTTGAATGGACTTAACCGTCCAGGGGTTCTTTACCTTTACCTTGCCTTTGTGTGTGTGTGTGTGTGTGTGTGTGTGTGCATGTGTGTGTCTGTAAGACAAAGACAAACAAAACCTTTCAGGTATTCAAACATCTCTTAATATTGTTTAACATCATTGATATTCCATTTTAGTCACTGATGAATGTCATTTTGGACAGTTTTAAACTTTTGTAACTGGGTTGATTTTTGTTAAGACAGTTTGCTGGGGTTTAGATTTGGGTCTGTGTTGGATTATATCGACCTTTGGCTTGGCTTTACTGATGTATTGAGTTTCTGTCGATTTTATTTTTGTCTATCCGTGCATATGGCCTGATAATATTTGTTATTGGGTGAATCACAAACTGAATCACACAAACACAGATAAGCAAGTTCCGCTGAAGCCCCCTGTTGCTGGACCCAGTCTCTGCCCAGCTGCTTTCCATTATTCATTCCTATCTCCATGTCTTTCATAGCTTGTCTGCAAGCAATCCAGCCATCATTTGAAACTTAGAGGAGCAAGGAGGTTCTCCCCATCGCTATCATTCAGGCCACAAGAAAGTTCTGCAGTAGTGACCAATCAGAAAGCAGCTGTTTCCCAGAGGTGGGGGCTATTGCTCTGTTTTCCTCTTGAGCATCTCAGAACTTCTCATGATGGATAGGAATGGAACAGGTGTGTCTAGCATGGAGATAGTTGCACCTGTTGCCTTGCTACCTATTGGAAAGCTTTCAAAGGCACAGGGACTCTAGAGAAACAGAATATTGGCAACATCCTGTTTCTGTACTTCCATGCACCTCTGTTCCAGCTTTGAAAGATAGAGATCTGATTCCCCACCCCACCCCCCAATTCTGCTTTCTCTTGATAGTTAGCAAATTAGGAAAAGAGTCTCTAAAGTTCAGTGAGCTGGCCTCCTAACTAGCTGACTAGAGTGGGAATCATTTCTTTTCAAGTGTTCTCTGCTGCCACCACTTTTATACAAGCTGCGAGGAAATGTAAACTTCTGTAAAAAGGCTGATTCTCTCAAAGAAGTTAGCATTGGATTACCTGATCTTCACCTCGGGGAGGAGGTACCTCTGCATTTAATTCAAATTGCACCAAGATATCAAGAAGAACTTGCAAGCTCCAGTAAAGGGGTTTCTCAACCACTTTCTTTCATGCTTGCTGTGGCCAGCAGGGTTATAACTGTCCTCCACAGCATGATTACTGCATCTGGTAAGGATACATTTGTAAGATAAGAAGACCAAATCTTGATGCGTTTATCAATTTTTTTCATTCAACTGCAGATGATCTTAAAAAGGTAAAGGTACCCCTGACCATTAGGTCCAGTTGCAGACAACTCTGGGGTTGCGGCACTCATCTTGCTTTACTGGCCGAGGGAGCTGGCGTACAGCTTCCAGGTCATGTGGCCAGCATGACTAAGCCGCTTCTGGCAAACCAGAGCAGCGCATGGAAACGCCGTTTACCTTCTCGCCGGAGCGGTACCTATTTATCTACTTGCACTTGACGTGCTTTCGAACTGCTAGGTGGGCAGGAGCAGGGACCGGACAACGGGAGCTCACCCCGTTGCGGGGATTCGAACCACCAACCTTCTGATTGGAAAGCCCTAGGCTCTGTGGTTTAGACCACAGCGCCACCTGCGTCCCAGATTATCCTAACCAACATCAAATGGGGGGGGCGGTCAGCTCACCTTATGCTTAACTTATTCTTAACTCTAAAGAAACAACACCTAAGCATTTATATTCTTTTGATACGGATAACGTGCAAAGCAAATGATCTGACGGCTTTCAAATGCTATCGCTTATGAGGAAAGTCTTTTTTTTCTCTAGCAACAAGATTATCGTAAATGTTAAAAGTAATGATGATATTAATCAGGTCTGGCAGCAATTTAGAAAATCACATGGTTGATAATTTTATATCTTTAAAATTGCATGTAAAATGTAGTGGAGACCCTATTAACCATTAATTTTGTGACATCAGTAGGTTTTTTTTTTACTTGAAACGAATGTATGACATACACAGCTCCTTTAATTATCGCAATACCTTTACTTTCCACTTCATCATATATTTTACTGGGATGACTAAGATTTTGGAGGCTTGCTGAAACAGCTCCAGTATTAGCATTACTCACAAAAAGTACCCTCAATCTGTCTCATCCCAATCAAAATTCTGAGGGGCTTTAAATTTCAGACACCTTTTTCATTTTGACTGAACGTTGGGTGCATTTATGAAAGCTATTTTATGGTTTCAATTACAGTTTTGACCTACTGAGTCAAAGAGGAAGCCCCTAACATACACAGACAGGCTGGTCTTGTGGCCCTACTACATGGTGGCTAGTGTATCAGGGCAAACATAATGTAGTCACCATCGTATGCATCAAGGCAGGGGTGGAGAACCTGTGATTCTCCAGGCATTGATGGACTCCAGCTCCCATCAGCCCTGGTCTGCAGGGGCAACAGTCAGGGATGAGGCCAGTTGTAGTCTAACAAGATTTGGAGGACCACAGATTCTCCATCCTTGCATTAGGTGATGGTCAACAAGACTGAACTGCTAGGACCTTTTGCATCCTCATGGCTACGTTGACCCACAGGCACTGTCAACTGGTACAGTGGTACCTCGGGTTAAGTACTTAATTCATTCCGGTGGTCCGTTCTTAACCTGAAACTGTTTTTAACCTGAAGCACCACTTTAGCTAATGGGGCCTCCTGCTGCTGCCGTGCCGCCGCCACACGATTTCTGTTCTCATCCTGAAGCAAATTTCTTAACCCGAGGTACTATTTCTGGGTTAGCGGAGTCTGTAACCTGAAGTGTATGTAACGTAACCTGAAGTGTATGTAACCCGAGTTACCACTGTAGTTTGCGCAGAGATCTTCTGCCTCTGGAAACTGCACTGCAGGAAACAAAGCAATTGGTGCCATTTCCCCTATAGCTGTCAACTTACAGATTTGAAAATAAGGGACCAGCAGCCAAAATAAGGGACTTTAGTCAATCAGCTCCCGAGCCAAAGGCAGAAAGCCCAGCCAGCCCAGCAGCCAAACGAAGCCTCAAGTGGTGGTTCCCACAGCGCAGCAAACCAGCGAAGGGGGTGCAGCAAGGGAAACCACCGTCACCTCTCCACTGGGAAGCGCTGAGCAAAGGCGAGTCCCCAGGCAACGTGGCTGATTTGATCAGCATAAGGCATGCAAGCTCCACCCCCCAGTCGTTCTTAGACTCTTTATTGGGTAAGCAATGCAGCCAAGCAACACAGTTGGAGCCTCCCTCCTCCCTGGCTGGCAGGGAGGGAGGGAGAGGAGCTGCTTCCTTTGAAACCCAGGAAATTTAAGGGACATCATCAATAAGGGACAGCAGCGGGACACGGCGCTGGGATAAGGGACTTTCCCACTAAATAAGGGACGGTTGACAGCTATGCCCATCGCCGCTGCACCTTTTACCTTCCTATGCATCCTTTCATTAGCTTTTGTACAGTGCCTGGAGATATACAGGTGGAAAGTGATTAATAAATAAGTATTATTAATAACCATGTGAACGCTTGGGCCACAGCTCATCAGCATTGCATGCAAAAAGGTGGTGCTATGGGAGAGGACAACATCCCTATAGCTCTTTAAATATTGGACTGCCTCTTGAGGCAAGTCTCCTTAAACAGCTGCGCTAACTCCTGGTCAGTTTCCTTGCACAATTCAATGTACTAGTTTGGAACCAGGATCCCTGCAGGGTCTCTTTCCTCCATTTCCTCCTGTCCATTCGCTGAAGCTCTTGGCCAGGTGTGTCTGCTGATTGGCATGTGGGAGTGGAGGGGGGGAAGCTGCAGAAAGAGGCTTACTGGTGATGGTGGACCAGTTGCGAAGCACACTTTCCAAGGAGCGGGGTGGGGAGGGGTGGTGCAGCTGAAGCCAGGAATTGATGCAACAAGAATTTTTAAACATTTAGTCCCAAGGGGGTGTGTGCATGTGCCTGTGTATATATTGTCTTGGACTGGCAAGGCAAGAAAGGCTTGCCCAGTATGCAGCTGCTGTTGGAGATTTTTTTTGCACAAGGTGACAAAGTCCAGGCTTTAAAAAAAGTATTTTATCCTTGAATCAGCTGATCCAATGCTGGTGCTTTGAATTGTTGTATTAGTGTATGTCTGACTTTTATATTGTTGTTTCATTGAAATATTTGGTGTAAGCAGACATGAGAAAATTCTATTTGAAAAGTGCATTATTATTATTATTAATAATTATATTTTATGTTTTCTCCAACCTGATGATCACCCGCCCTTTATATTGTTCATTGTTCTTGCAGCTCCAGTAGCAAAAATGGACCTAAGACTCCAGATGAGTCTTGTGTCTGGCATCTTGCTGCAGGGGACTTCTAAGGATTCCAAGGCAAGGTAAGTGTTACTACATGGACCATTCCTACTTTGGGGGTGCCTTGGGCAGTTGTTTTTGCAAAAATCTCTTTCTATGTTGGGGGACCTTTCACCAAAGTCCTTTACTGTGCACTTTGTAGGCTCACTGTTCTGCTGAGATGAGGACAGTGTGGTGCAACTCTAACAGTGCATCTTAGTGTATGTTTTGCGTTCCCTTGCTGGGCACAGGACTCCAGGTCTGACAAAGGTAGAATAGAGTGGTACTATTACTTCCCATGATCTGGACACTATACTTCTGTTGATGCAGTCTAGAATAGCATTAGCTTTTCTTTTTTCTTTTTTTGCTGCTGCTGCTGCATCACACTGTTGACTCATATTAAGCTTTGTGGTCGACAAAGGACCCCAGATCCTTTTCATGTGGACTACTGGCAAGCCAGGTGTCCTCCTCCTTATATTTGTGCAGCTGGTTCTTCCTGGCTAAGTGTAGAACTATTTGTCCCTATTGAAATTCATTTTGATAGCTTTGGCCCAGTTTTCCAATCTGTTAAAGTCATCTTGAACTCTGATTCAGTCTTCTGCAGTGTTGGCTTCCCCTCCCACTTTGGTGTCATCTGTAAATTTGATGCGCATCCCCTCAATTTCTTCATCCAAGTAATTTATATTTACCTTTATTGTATGATCATTCTTTTTGTGGTATCAAAGGTGCATTTTAGTAGCACTTCAAAAAACACTTTTTGCTCTTACTCGATTCTATGTTTGAGTCCAACTTTGAAGGTTGGGATGTGCATACCTTTTTTTAGCGACCTGGGTTTGGTACCCAGATCCCAAATTTTTCTTTACAGTGTTGGGACTAAAACGACACAAGTAATTTCAAATACACAGCAATTCTTTGGGAAGGAGATGCTTAAAAACATGACAGTTTATTTCCAGTCAACTATGAGGCAAGCACAACTCTTTTCCTAACTGGCCCACCTTGGATTGGGGTTCAGAATCAGAACTGGAAGAATCTTTATTTGCATCAGCCACTAGCCATAGCAGTGAAATGAAATAAAATGTACTGAAGATAGAGGTAAAAACTTAGCTATACAAAATACATTCTGGAGGTTTACATCAACAATCAAATAATAGATCATATTCTAATTGCTCCTGCTATTTTCTCCCCCAGTTCTTGCTATCACCTGATTATCTTAATTTTCTAGAAGAAAAGCAACAGTAGCAAAGGTTGAACAACCTGGTTTGGATAGTAGTAGAGGGGTGATAACCTCACTCCTCAATTGGATTGGGAGAACCCAGCCAGATGGGTGGGGTATTAATAATAATAATAATAATAATAATAATAATATCCCACCTCTGCTGCTCCTCATTCCCTAAGAAGGGCAGAAAGCCTTTTTATTTGAGGAGGCAAGTGAAAGACTAGGCCCACATTTACACAGGAGAGACCCTATAGATCTTTTCCTTGGCAGCAACTGACTACAAGACCCACAGTGCCTGGCAGAATAAATGCTCCTTACATCAGTTGCCAGTAGAGAATAAACTGGCCTGACCCATCCTAGCCCTTTGAAAAAGAAGGGATGGCCAAAATTTTATTTCCTACATGGCTGCTTCTGTCAATCAGGCCTCAAATAGTTGCCCATAGGAAGCTGAGGCTGCAAAATCCAAAGGTAACAGTATGATAATAATTTAATTAGGACTTATTAAAATATTACAAAGCAGAGAACAAGCTTTGTTCTTCTCAAATCTTTATCAAGTTGAATGTAAAGCAAAAAGCAGCAAAATTTGGATGGAGGTGCACAAACTGATCAGGATGTAACCTCCCTGCAGTTTGTAGCAAGAGACTTGCATTCCAAACCCCATGCACGTTTTCCCGGGTCTGGAAGTACCGGTGGCCGAAACGGGACGTGTGATTAGGTATGCGCAAGACCAGAGTACTGAGTTCAAGGGAGCACATTCCGGGCTACATGCAAGATGCCGCAGGTTGCTGCAAAACAGAGTTCAGGATGCACCAAGACTAGAGCCACTGAGACGACCTGCCTCGCCATCTGTGTTGTGTAGTGGGCAGTGCGCCCTCTGCATGTGCTCAGAGGTTTCTTTTCTCCTGTTCTTCAGCGTTCTGGGGTCGAACCTCGGCTCAGATTAAGTTCTGGGGGGTGGGATACACCTCTTCAACAACTGCACGTGTGAATGGGCGCAGTTGCATGAAGCCCTTTTCTCCGCCGCCTCCGGCAACTGCATCGGGGACGCTCCCTGGGACTTCTCCCGCCCGCCCTCCTTCTCCCCCGGGAGCGGAGGTGGGGGCTCGCCGCTTTCCAGCTTCCTTCTCCCGAACCCATCTAGCCGGAGATTTTTTCCAAGCTGACTCACAGAACTAAGGGCAGCGTCCTGTCATCCCCGGCGCGGCAAGCTGTTGCTTGCGCCGCTTGCGCTCTCTGCCTTCGCCCTCCCTCTCCTCCTCCTCCCTGCGCCCTGAATGGCTGGAGGGGAGGCGGGCGGGGGCGGAGCCCAGCCAGGACACGCCCCTCCGGGCCCCGCCCACCGCTCGGCTCTCTCCCTTGAGCAGGGACCGCAATGATTTAGAAGTTCAGGAATCCCACGTGACGTCACGGAGGGTGATGTAATGCTTCTCTAAATAGAACGTATTGTAACCTTCTCTCAGTCCAACGTGGTTCCTTCACCCAGGCTGCTTGCTGGTCCTTTCCCTGCTTACACTTGTTGGGTAAGTCCCTCGAAATACGGAGCTGCCTTTCTGATTGCCCCAAAACGCAACTTTACATCGCGTTGGGGGTGGGGGGTGGAAAAACAAAACAAAACAAAAAAGCAAAACTCGCCTTGCTCAAAACTTCTCGCTTGCAAGGGGTTTTGCTGCTGCTTTCTTCTTGCCCCAACGAGAGCGCGCGCGTGTGTGTCTGCGAATTCACACACACACACGCGCGCGCGCGCGGGGCTGGTACTCCGCAGGGCAAAAGAAAACGCAAAGTGGCGAGGGGTTAAAACAACAACAGCGATCGAGTAAAAATTGCGAAATGTTTGTAAACGATGTTTTTTCCCTCTCTCTCTCTCTCCTTTCTTTCTGTTTTGGTTGTGCTGCTGTGTCTGGGATTTTTCCCGGGTTGCTGCTACAAGTTGATGGTTGTTTGGGTATGACTTTCATTTGGCAGAAGGAGCCGCTCTCGCTCTCAGCTTGGCGACCGGGAGGCGAGAATTGGCTAGGTGGGAAAGTGTGCGAGAGACCCGAAGCGGGAAGATGTAACGGGGGGATGCGGGCGTCTCCGCGCGCTCCGCCTCTTTGCCCCGTGCGCTGGCACGGTGCGTTATCAACTGGGAAGATTTATCTGTTATTCGTTTATTTATTTGCCGGAGGATGGGTGTGTGTGGAAGGAAACAACCCGCCTGGGCTGTGAAGAGTTAAAATGGGGGGACTTCGCTATATAAAAGGCGAAGAAGCGGCAGAGGCAACCTTTGGCGACCGCCAAGTGCACGAAAGTTTGGGCGCTTGTGGAATCAAAGCGGTGGCGAAGAAAGTCGTCCGCTTGCTGTTAGGGAGACTCCATCACTCAGATCCCACCTGTCGCCTCCACCCTCTGGCCCGACAAGACTTTGGGAACTTCGACGACCCGAGAAAGCCCTTCCCCAGACCCCGTAAATTGCTGGGAAAGGATCGCTTAGGCGCGGAGAACGGTGCGCTCTGCGTGTGCTCAGAAACACTCCAGGCGTATGTGTTCCTCTGGCATTAAAAAAAAAAAAGATCCCTGATGGGAGGGAGGCTGGCAGGCTGGCAACTCGTCCCCTGAACTGTTTCTTTTACATGCCCCGTCCCCTTGGCTTGGGGGCACTCCTGATGCCATCGCCGCTTGCCCGCAAGAAACCAGAGAGGTAAACCTCGTGGCCAGCAAGTTGCCACCACCGCCGACCTCTTAGGTTCAGGGCAAGCGCTTCGTAAGGTGGATCTCTGGGGAGAGAGCGACCCGGCTCGCCGCCCCGTGTCCTGTACCGGTAGCCCCGCGCAAGATCTTCCTTGTTGGGCGCAATGACAGCGCTCTCCTTCCCCACCAGCTCGCGGCTGCCTCCCCACCCCACCTCCTGATCGCTTCGGATCGCCAGCGCGAAAACTTTTGAACTCAGCTTAGGGACTAAGGAGCGACCAGGAGAAGTTTCATCCTTTGGCTTGGGCCATCTCGGCGAGGGGAGAGGAGACCATTTCTCTGCGCCCTCCTTGCCGCGCCACCTTTCCATCGCCCGTCCCCGCGTGGTCCCCTGTTGTTCCAAAAAAGGTGTGTGTGTGTGTGTGTGTGTGTGTGTGTGTTTGGTTGTTAGGTGGCTGCCCCTTCCTTTACACACACACACACACACACACACACACACAGTGTCGCCCCCGCCCTATCTGACACTCTCTCTGGGAGTCAGAGGCTGGATCCCGGGCCATTACGTCATTCTGCAGGCTAGTAAAATGTGTGATTAAGAGACTCCGATCTTGGGGGCTGGGGGTTGGCCGGAGGATCAGCAATCCGGCTGATCAGGCGCTGCTACCTGGCTCCAGGTCGACAGCTCTGTCCGATTCCTTTAGATCCAAACCCTCCCCCTCTTAAACACTGGGATATGTCTCTCCCCCCCCCCAAACTCTCCTTCTTGGCTAAGTTTTGTCGTCTGAGAAGAGCGTCAAAAGGGGAAATGCCTGCTAAGCTCAACTTGCCTGCTGCGGTGTTTGCGCCATGCTGAGCGATCGTCGAGATCCAGGGCTCCTAGGAAAACTTCGCAGCGCCAAAGACAAAGAGCTTTCTCCCACCCCCCACCTCCAGCACACACCCCTTTCCCCCTTTTAACCGGGATAGTAGGCAAGTAGTAAGCCTGTCTCTTTAAATCCCCACCACCAAGCAGCGCGATGAGAAGTTTCTTACACGGAATCGGGCTGATACTGCACGCGCAAAGTTTGGAAGAAGGAAAAAGGTCTGATCGGGAAGGGAGAGTTTTCTAGGGATTTCCTGGTCATCACCGAAAGGTTGGGCGGGAACATTCCGATCCCGATTATATCTTACTTGGAAATATCCTATTGAATTTCCCGAGGTTTTTCTTTTTAAACCCAGGGAGCTTCCAGTTGTAGCAGCCTTTCCACTGGCTCCTGGGGACGCTGCACTTGGCTGAAACTAGGACCTGAGAGAGATTTGGAACTGAGGTGCCTTGAGTCTAGCAAGTCACCTCAACTAACTCCCAAGAAAACTTTTTTTTTGCAGGATGAAACTGTCATGGAGAAAAAGTGAATATAAACTTAGGCGGATAGATTATTTCAATCCAGATCTTGTCTGTACATTCACATATCCACACACCACGCAAATATAAAATCTGTGAGTGTGTTTATATAATTTTAGGTTCTTCTTTTTGAGGGAAGAGGCAACACAACTCTGAATTGTGCTGCGGCACAACTGGGGGTGGAGTATGCTAAGTTTCGAAAGCTGTCTTTAGCATCTTTTACTTTTACGCTTCAGATAAAATTTTCAGCAAGAACTTTAAACGGCTAAATCTCATTCTTGGGACTCCCCCCCCCCCTTCTCTTGTGCAGGTTGCAAAGCCCCAGAGAGAAGTGTGATTAATGATCAGCTATAAGTGATTAGTGGTTTTATTCAAACTGTTACCTCTGACCAGAAGCACACATCAGAGGATTAAGAGGCTCTTTTAGATAAATGCTCATTAGTGGAAGGGGAAAATCAAAGATAATAGGCAGGCACACAGAGACAACTTTCTAGGAAAATCACTCCTGTCTTTGGAATAATAAGCTCTGTTCAGAGAAAGGCACTTTAATTTAAAAGTTGCTTTTATCTTGTAAATCAAAGTTTGATGTAGAAGTCCACCGGGCTATTATAACCTAGATTTTCCCATATCCACAGGACATAGATTATCCTGGTTGTGATATTTCTTTTCCTTATAAAGAAACAATTGGGATCTTGAAAGAAACTAATCATTCCCAAGTCCAAGTATCTTAAGGTATCCACTTTGAACGTAAGCCTGAGAGACCTGTTGTCGGTTAACTAGATGGCACAGTACAGTATATACATCCTAGAGATGTATAGTTCTCCAGTGCAGTGTCCTTTAATGCTTTCAAAAAAAGTTGATTCTATCCCGGGTTTAAGGCTAGACAGTTCTATACATTTTTAGTCACATTTTCCAAGCAAGTTAAAGGCTCGTGGAAAAATTAATCTCACCGCTTCAAGAAATGGAAGGGGTGAGAGCGGGTTGGTGGGTGTCAAACACTTGATTAAAGTACTGTAGTTACTTGGAACGGGAGATCTGCTTTCAACAGTGGATTGAACAGCTAGAACTCCACTAGTCTTACATTCAGAATCATAGACTCAGACAGATTTTCCATGTTACTTTTACTGTTGAGAGAGAACAAAATACGGGCACTAGGAAGGAGAGTTGACTTGTGGATTGGGTGAAGCAACTTATCCTCCAGAATGCGGTTCTTTTTTCCCTGTTCCACTCTTTTCTTCTGCTGTCTATGTGCTATCCTGTGTTTTGTGGTGAATTATTACCTATTGCTTATTATACTTCGTAAAGTATCATGATAATGGTGCTGTACTTCCATTTATGTCTCCTGCTTGTGCTGGGAGACAGAGCTCAAACAGTAAATTTGACAAACAAAACAACTTGTTTATTATGTGGTGCCAATGGTTACAACTGCTCAGGCTAAACTCTCTTTAAAAAGATACCTACGTCCAGTGAGTAGCGGAGAAAGAAGTAAGACTAGGGGTGATATATTTGACTTGAAGTGTTGTTTAGGATTGCAGTATAGGTATTCTGGATATCCTTCTCTTGTATATAAAAAGGTGAGGCCTGAGACAGATCCGTTTACACAGCAAACTGTATTAACAGCAAAAATTGGTGTTGCAATTCAGACTGGAATGGGAATGAGGCTGAGGAAAGGGGGATCTCAAAAAGAGCATAGTTTGAAACTGCAAGGAAAGCCCAAGGTAGAGTGGGCCATCTATAGTTTGCTATGACTCTTCAGAAGTCACTGGCTCCATTTGTCTAGATGTTGTGCATTGTGATATTTAGTGCGAGGGCCCTTTCTAGAATCTAGAGAAGTGTTCCTGGTCTCTCGGCCCAGTTATTACAAACTTTTTATAGCATTGCACCTAATCTAATCTTGCAATATTCCCACTTGGAAATCAGTCCTGTCTAGAAAATAGGGTAGATCCAATGTGCGATTCTCATACACCTGTGTTTATTTCACGCTGGGTGAGAGGCATTGATCATCACATGTGTGATGAAGTATGTCATGTATTGGAAGTTTGTAACATTTCACAAATGTTTGCTCACACCAGGTTTAGAGTTTAGGCAATTGGCACCGCGTAGTGTGTGTGTGAAGCGGCCCTTAGTTGGAAGGGGGTAACTATAAATTGACTTAAGACACTTGATATTTTGCCGTCCTCCCATATTAGCAAATCTTTATTTATGCTGGCAGTAGGGACAAAGCAATTCTATCTGCACACCTCAACAGAAAGACCCAAACCCACTTTGAGATATTTTGTACTTCAGCACAATACAAACCAGGGTGCCTATCATGAATATGCCTCGTGTTTTTTTATGATCTGGGCTGCTTTAGAATGTTCTGTTCTTCCTTTTTTGTGCGAAAATCATCCTATGTGTCTAGTTAAAAAAAATTGTGCAAGCCTCATAAATTAGGAAGCTGCCTTTGGTGTGATCTGCCTTTAAGTGGAAACCTAGTTTAGGTTCATATGAAATTTCATACAACTGACTGTCTTCCTGATGGCGGATAAAATTAGCCCTGTGTAATATTTCACAATTTTCAAGTTCCATCAGCATTTCTTTTCTTTTGCCAAAGTGTATTAATGCACAGCTTAAAACACTTACTTCGGCAAGTTGAAAATTATCTTCAACAGAGGATAATAAAATTTGGTCCCAGTCGCTTGTTACCTTTGTCTACACCTCTTACTACTTTAAAAATGGTTATGTAGTTACATTTGTTTAAAATCCACATTAAAGTCAGGATTCTAAAGGCTGTTGAATCCCCCCCCCTTAGTCATTCCATTTAACTGAATGATCCTTTCCTGAATTTGGTTTTGGATTTGCATATAGATTTTTTTAATCGTTAAGAGGCTAACCAGTTTCAATTAAGTCATTTAAAATGCATTGCAGGTCATATAGTTGCTAGTTCACATCCAGACACATTTTGTTACCTGATTTGTTTAGCCATGCTGTAGCTGTCTGGGCATGGGTTTGAGAGTAAAGAACTTCCACCTCTAGTTAGTGTATGTTAAAGAGTTACGGTCCTGGGATGAAGTTCTTAGCACAATTGTGTTGCTTGAATTCCACTGTAGCCGATGCAGAAACATGCAGGACTGTGGCTCTGGTTTTCCGGATGTAGAACGTTGCCAAATCTAATATCTGAAGGCTGCAAACCATGCAAATCGTGTACAGTTTGGTACATGTCACATAGCTGCATCAGGAGGTACTTTGTGAAGCATAGCACGGAATCTTAAATAACAAGAGTTCCCACCCAGCCTGATAGCCCTTTGTTTCCGTCTTCAAAAACTTAATGAATCATGTTGTTGACTCAGTTTGGTGAGATGCAAAATGTAAAAGGAGGTGTGATATTAACTACGAACCAAAACTTTAAAGCCGTGCTAACACGACAGATGTGTTTCTCTAAATTACTTTGTTAAATTTGGAAACGGATGCCAAACACACAGTCCTAATTTTTAGTGCTTGCATTCAGGTAATGCTGTCTTATTTGGGAAGTTAATTGAAATGTAATTCATTTGCAGATAAATATACTTAGGATTGCTGCCTTTGCATTCCAGTCCTCAGCATGTTTACATTGATTTGAATGGAACTTACTTTTAGGTTTAGGGTCTTTAGGTATCATCAGTGCACTACTTTTCTGGTTAAAAAAAAAAGGTTACTTGCAATCCAATCCAATAATGTTTACTCCAAAGTAAGTACCATAACTTCTAGTGTTGCATACTCCAAGCAAGTATGAATGGAATTGCAGCTTTAGTAAGTTACTAGGTCATAGCAATAACTAGACCAGAGATTATCTGGTCTAACTGAGTATCAGCCAAGTTAAAAAGTAGGAAAATGCTTATACAAGGAAGTAATTCTTTGAATATAATTGTTATGCCCATCATTCATGTTCCGTAATAATAACTGTTTAATGGGGAATAATGGGAAATAACACTGTGTTGAGTTTTTATAGCTAAAACATATTTGAGATGTTTTCAAGCCTGAGCCAGCCAGCATCTTTATAATAATAGCTTGCTTGGTGTTCCCAGGGACATTTGCATTACGTATATCCATCTCTTTTGAAATAAAGCATATGTGGTTCTGTACAATGCAAATTAAAACAATGGATAAAACAGAATGCTCCCAAATAATTGGCTAATAAAAAACTGTGAACAAACAAACAATTAACTAAATAAATAATAAAGCAGCAGAAGAAACCAAGTAGATCTGCTAGGGAAGGAAACCCCTTGAAACTCAGAAAGGCCTGAATTGTCTTCTGAAAAAGCATAACTCTTGAATACCATTGAAAAGCCAACAGAAAGGAGGCAGAATCATCAACAACCATGTTTTTACCCCGGAGATCTGGCTGGGTTTCCCCAGCCACTCTGGGCGGCTTACAGCACATATAAAACATAATATAAAACAGAAAAAACATCAACCATTGAAAACTTCCCTATACAGGGCTGCCTTCAGATGTCTTCTAAAACTCTTCTAAAAGAACAGCTCCAAAGCCTTGATTTCCATGCCTTGAGAATACATGTACTGGATGGAGAATCTCTATACTGTGAGACCCTGCAGCACCCATACATTCCATGGTTATAACCACACTTGACAACTGTTATCTGCTCTATGTGAGGCTGCCTTCATAGATGGTTCAGAAGCTTCAACTGCTGCAGAATGGAGGTGCCTGCTTGTCTGTGGGGACCAGGCGCTCAGAGCACACAACACCTATGTCGTTTTAGCTGCCTTGCTTGCCATTTCTAGTGACCTTTGAAGCTCTGAATGATTTGGGACCAAGCTGCTTGAAAAACCACCTGCACCATATCAGTGTGTCTGGGCTTTGAGATAGCGATGGACCCATAAACAGGGCCTTCATAGCCTAAGAATGGTTAAGTCCGGTGAGCCAGTGTGGTGTAGTGGTTAAGAACGGTAGTCTCGTAATCTGGTGAACTGGGTTCGCTTCCCTGTTCCTCCACATGCAGCTGCTGGGTGACCTTGGGCTAGTCACACTTCTTTGAAGTCTCTCATCCCCACTCACTTCACAGAGTGTTTGTTGTGGGGGAGGAAGGGAAAGGAGAATGTTAGCCGCTTTGAGACTCCTTAGGGTAGTGATAAAGCAGGATATCAAATCCAGACTTTTCTTCTTCTTAAGTCCGGTGAGCACCTTTCTGTTTATTTATTTATTTTACTTATGTATTAAATTTGCATGCTGCCCCTCACCTGCGGATCTCAGGGTGGCTGCCAACATAAAAATGCAATATAAGAGCACAAAATACATGGCAAAAACAAGAAAAAAGAAGCTTATGTAAGCATAGTGACCCCGTTCCCTCCCCAGCATAGCCTCTGCGCTAATGTATTTTTTAATACGTGTATTTTTTAATGGGCCTTAAATACCATTTTATTCCCAACTGCTTTTAATTGACATGGATGCTGAGGATTTGCCACTTTAAGGTGTGTGTGTTTGCTTAATGCATTTTCTGCTGCTTGTTTATATAGTTTTCTTCGGTTGCTGTTGTTTTATCTGCTGCTGTTTTAATTCAGATATATGAGTGTGTCTTGTTTCAATGTATTTAATATTGTGTATCACCTTAAGGGAGTAAGTCTAAAAAGTTGAGAGAGAGAGAGCGAGAGACTACTTCTTCTTTTTTTGAGAAAAACTCCTTGAAACAAGGTCATTTAAAATTCTGGGCAGAGTTTTAAAAGTACGGATTGGTTCATTTGAGAGAAGGCAGCCTCTAGGCCAGGCATAGGCAAACTCGGCCCTCCAGATGTTTTGGGACTACAATTCCCATCAACCCTGACCACTGGTCCTGTTAGCTAGGGATGATGGGAGTTGTAGTTCCAAAACATCTGGAGGGCCACATGTTGTCCTTGACTGGTGTAGACCATGCTTAACCAGACCAGTAGTCTGACTTGGTGTACGGCAGATAGAGATGCTTATGTTTGGCTGCCTATTGCTTTAAATGCCAGTACCTCCCCTTAAACTGGGCCTGGGAAGCCACTGGGATCTAATGAAGCTGTTTGAAAATTGGCATCATATGTTCCCTATGGCCCACCCCAGTTGACAGTTTGGCAGCAGCCATTTTGACTCAGTCATCTTTTCTGAGAACTCTTCAAAGGCAGCCCCACATGATCTTACTTAATTAAAAGTTGGTGTTCTGATTTTAGCATGCAGATGGTGATTGTAATAAAACACTTGAATATATGGAGTTGTCCAAGGGAAGATGGCTGGGTTTTTGTTTTTTTAACGGGGTATTATAAACATAATTTCTAATATTTTTCCATACAGCAACAGTGGCAAATGGCTTTAGATACCTATTAGGTCCATAAATGACCATATAGCATATTTTCAACACAAAAAACAACGACAATTTGTTGTTGACAAAGGACAACTGGACATATAAAGGGCCCCATTACCTTCAGTAGCTTAGGGCCTCATCAAACTTTAATGTGGCCCTGATAAAGATGCAAAACTGTTATGGCATGATCAAAGAAGGAAAACATTCAAGACTTCCATAGGGTATGTGCCAGCTTTCGGATGAACCTAAAGTAGTTCTCTGGATTGTGGACCAGGGGATTGTGGCATGTAATGGTTTAGTGGTTCACCAAAGGAAGCAGCTGAACTGTAAGGAAATAGGGTGAATTAGCTAGGAAACCTGAACAGGTTACATACTCATAGAACCCATACTGGGACAACACACTTTAGTTATCACTTATAACTCATTCCTCGTGTGGCATTTACAGTGATGGTGGTAAAGTGTAGGTCATATCTATTCACTTGTGATGGGATTATGTCTGAAGGAGGGATTCCAATCCATGTAGTGATTGTAAATTCAGAATCAGGGAGACAGTATTAGTCTGGATTAATTAACACAGAGCACCCCATTCCTGTTGCATATGGGGTGCAACAGTCAGTCTTCTGAAATTACAGTAGTGCTGCTATCTGGTCCTTAGTTATTTGGCTTTCACCACTGCTCTTAGTCTTCCTTATAGCATCCGTATAATGCTACATAAGACAAACAGCACTTTTTAAAAGTACTGTAAGAAATCCGATATATACAAATTAAGGGTCGACATGACCCAATCCACTAGGGTGGCCATGTGTCCCATTTTATAGAGGACAGTCCTCTATTTGTAGAGCTGTCAGGGGACAGTTCCCTGTTTGAAGGAGTCCTCTATTGAAATGTCTGTCTGGTTGAAGTCTAATTTAAAGATAAATAGAAGGAACAGCAGCAACCTTGAAGTTACCTTTCAACAGCACTGGAATGGACAGCAGATTCAGCAGGAACACACCTGGTCACCTGTCTTGATGGTGGCAATGTATTGCATTTCCCTTTAAATTAGAGCCATTCTTTCTACATTTGTATCTATAGATATATATTAGCATATGCAAATTGTATGCAGATTTGGGCCATGTTTTGTCCTCTTTTTGTTATTGCATAAGTGAACATCCTACCTCTCCCCTCACCCTAGAAAACAAATTACTGAATTGGGATTTTTGTGAACTACTGGCTTTTGCAGTTCCTGAAACATAGGTCCTGGCTATTTACACATTCAGGGTGATCTCCAGTCCTGGTTTCCCCAATGGACTTCTGTTTGTATGCATTGGAGTTGCCTTCCTCTCTTCCGCTCTGCAACTCCTAGTGCCTCAACCCCCATCTCACCCCAAATCTGCTGTGGAGGGGCAACCCTTCAGAATAGATGGGGTGTGAAGAACAAGAAGGACATTGGATCTGCAACATTGGATCTGTCATGTGTGTGTGTGTGTGTGTATTGTCCATGCAAATACAGAAATGCACTTTTGTTTCAGCCTTGCAAATGTATGAACTACTTTGTTGCGCGTGAATAAGCCCAGGGACGGCCTATATGCAGAAGGGCATAGAAACAATTCAGATGAAACTTGCAATAATCTGGCTGCATCACATATATAAACATTCTTCACACTGAATCAAGTTTTGAAACGTTGAAGAGCAGGCTTTTAAAGAAAGAAGATTAACTTTGGAAGACGTGGAATGAAATCATGAGCAAACATATACAAAAAAATGAATTGGAGTTGAAGGAGACATTTGTCCATACCTACACTTTTTGGACATTTATTTATTCTCTTCCTTTCTGGAATTTGTTTCCTACTTTGCCCTGCCAGAGCTACATACCCCTAGGCACAGCTAAACTGATTTAACCTTTTCGCAGGCAATGGTTTGTGAGCTCTTTTATTTGGGACTACAGTCACTGGCAGAGGAAGAGGAGTGCGGGGGGAGCGCAGTGCGATGCCGGTGGGGTGCCATTGTGGCTGCCTCCCCACCCACGCTGGGCGCCCCGCCCCAGGGACATGCGCCAGCCCCACCCCCACCTGCTCTCCACCCGCCCCACTCCCCCAGTGCCGGAGCATGAAGCTCTGTCACTGGGTACAGTTCTAAATATTGGGCTTTCTATATGTGTTTTGAATGTTTCCAATGGGTTTTTGGACTCAGTATACAAAAGCCATAAGAGAGTGTGTGTGTGTGTGTGTATGTTTTTTTAGCATATCATTTTCAACAATTATTGAACATACTTTCATATCTTATACAATTTTTTGACTTCTGTCAATCACATCTGAAAATTTTCCAATCTTTTTCACATTTCTTACTTTCACTGTTACATTTAAATATCATAACTAATGCCTCTCCTCTTTGCAAACTTCTTGTAGTCCTACTAGCGTAATTTGTTGATTACAGTTGCTCTTCAAATAGTTCGTATATTTCTTCCAATCTTCTGCAAATCTCTGGTCCTGCAGGTTTCGAATCCTTCCTGTCATTTTGTCCAATTCTGCGTAGTCCATTAATTTCGTCTGCCATTCTTCTTTCGACGGTATTTATTCTTGCTTCCATTTCTTGGCGAACAAAACTTTTGCCGCTGTTGTTGCGTATAAAAACAGTTTAATGTCCTGTCTATTAATGTCCTCACTTATAACAAAAGCCGTAAGTTAAAGCTTGTTGAAGTAGCAGGTACTAGTGCTGCCTAATGTACTTTAATTATGATGTTACCACAGAGAGAGAAGCTGGTCCAAATGTTTAGGGTTATGACCCATGATTTACATAACGGAAGCCTCAATCCACATCGTTCACTTTCCTCCAACAAACCATTAGGCTATCTCGCATAATGCTTTATACTGTAGGTTTCATCTGTACACCATAGGTTCTAATTTTTTTAACCCAAATATCCTTCAAACTTTTTTGCTTTAATTTAACTTCATTCCTATTTGTATGTGTTTTTCTCTTCTGCAATTGTCTTAATTTGAACACTACTCCTCTTTCCTAAGTGCCTTTTATTTTATTTTATTTTCTGTGAGTTCTAGTCTGTGGTTTTATTGGGATTGTAGAATTGGCTGTATGGGGCATAGTCTGGCAATAGGGATATGCTCTTTAATTCCCATCTTATACAGAATTATTTGGAAACGAATCCCATTTGTTTACTGGATAAATGTGCCCAAGGTTGGAATGTTTGAGTTGCCAGAAAGGAAAAGGATGGGTGAACAAGTACGCAAGAGCATTAAATTTAATTTTGAATTCTCCTAAATACAGCCTGTCAGTAGTCTCGCTATCTCCATTTTCCCTAGAGGCAAAATACTTCCTGGCACTCGACTGGGTGCTTGTGACATGACTACACATACTGCCAGCTTCTTTGTGCTTCAAAGTTAATTTGATGAAGGCTGCAGTCCTATAGTTGCTTTCCATGGGGAAAGCTCCATTGGATTGAATGGGCCCTATATCTGAATAGACATGCCTAGGATTGTATTGTAAATGTCAGGATTGTACTGTAAATGTGGGAATCTCAGGGCAGCCATTCTCAGATTTCTTTGGAGGTGTCTTGTCTTGTCTAGAAATTGACATAGGAGAATGGCAGTTAAACATTCAACAGTGGATCAGAGGCTCTGAAGTGTAAGAAAGTGAAAGGTAAGTTTAGGAAATTCAAAGTATCATTTCAGTGCTTTTGTTTGCTACTCTTTCCTTGCATGCTGCTCAAAACTGGTTCAGATTAGCATTGTTTTTCTAGAAATTGCCACTATTTGAATAAATAATTTTCACTTTTTTTGTATTCAGACAGTATCTATTTAGTGTGTGATGTAGATACATAGAAGGAAAAACAACAAAGCATGCAAAGTATTTATAATTCTCATAAAGTACAGTATCTCTCCGCTGAAAACCAGTGGACAATAGTGCAACTGGCTGGAGATTTCAATTCCCATGTTCCTGAAAGTGTTTATTACACTTTGTATTGCTGTATTTTAAACAATGGGCACAAACCGCACAAAGATAAGCACCACTGATTTCAATGGGAAAGTTCAGCAATGTGCTTAACTTCAGCAGGATAGGACCCTAAATGATGTTTGCTTTCAAGGATGGCATTCACGTAACTTAGAGAAACAATGCACATTGTAATAATCCCCGCTTCAAATTGTTTTGTTTCAGGTTGGCTCCAGTCCATTGAAGGATATCAGTATATCTAACCTGAAGCAAAGATCTTTAACATTTCTTCAATTGTTCACATGGGCCAGGATCCAAAGATCCAGGCCCAGACTAGACGAGACACCATTAACACAATTAGCCTTAAAAATAAAAAAATAAAAATAAGGAGCAGGTGAGGGCGTGATCTGGGTTGGGCCCATGTTTTGTGGGAATTGGTGGACTTGTTATTCTTTGCTCCTCACTGTGCGACTGATCTGGATTGGAGACCCCACATCTGCTATTTACATCAGAATACAAGCTCCCAGTCAAAGATTTTGATGCAATTCAAAGTAAGCAGAAGGGTCTCTCTGGGATGGATCAGCATGGTGGGGAGGGAGGGAGAGAGAAAAGGATGGAAGCTGCTAGTTCCCATGATCCCAACTCAGGTCAGACCCCCATGCTAATTCACACAACTTCTAGAGTGGTACCTCCGGTACAGTTCCAGAAGTCCGTTCTTAAACCAAAGCGTTCTTAAACCAAGGCGTGCGTTCCCATAGCAGCGGGGGACTCAAATTACAAATGGAACACACTCAACAGGAAGCGAAACATGTTCTTATTCCAAGGCAAAGTTCACAAACCAAAACACCTACTTCCGGGTTTGCAGCATTCTTAATCCAAGTTGTTCATAAACTAATAATAATAATAATAATAATAATAATAATAATAAATTTTATTTATATCCCGCCCTCCCCAGCCGAAGCCAGGCTCAGGGCGGCTAACAACAATCAAATAATCAAACAATCAAATAATCCAACATTCTAAAACATTTCATTATAAAAATTAATTAAAATCAAATTAATGGCAACCATTAAGCAAAATTCTGTGCAGGTTGCCAGAGGAGGGAGTCAGGCTGGGCCCTGACCAAAGGCCTGGTGGAACAACTCTGTCTTGCAGGCCTTGCAGAAAGATGTCAGGTCCCACAGGGCCCTAGTCTCTTGTGACAGAGCGTTCCACCAGATTGGAGCCGCAGCCGAGAAAGCCCTGGCTCTAGTTGAGGCCAGCCTAACCTCTCTGAGGCCTGGGACCTTCAGGATGTTTTTATTTGCAGACCATAGGTTCCTCTGTGGGGCATACCAGGAAAGGCGGTCCCGTAGGTACGAGGGTCCTAGGCTGTATAGGGCTTAAGAACTAAGCTGTTCTTAAACCAAGGTACCACTGTAACTGCATGAGCAGTGTCTGGTATAAGGAGGCTTCAGATCTGATTTTCTTAAGAGGATCTGGATAGCTCAGTTGGTTAGAGATTGGCACTGATGATGTCACGGTTGCAGGTTTGATCCCTGTTATAGGACAGCTTCACAGCCCTGAGTTTCAGGGGGTTGGACTAGATGACCCTCAAGGTCACTTCCAACTCTACAAATCTATGATTCTTAAGTAACAGATGCCACTCTTTTGGCAAATCACACTTCAGTTTCCAAAGCAGTTTGCGATAGGACATGGGGGCAGTAGTTACAAAAAAGCAAACAGGATTTTTTGCTGGGCTGTATACACACCATACATTTAAAGCACGCACCCTCCTCACATACCTTTAATGAAGGTCTTTATGAAAGAGAAGTGGAATTCAGTAATCCTGGAAAATGTAGTTTAACAAACAACAGTTCCCAGAAAGATTCTTTGGAGAGGGGCTATTGTTATGAGATTGTATGAGGAGGGCAGAGCCTCCTAAAGGTGTTAAGATTTCGTGAAAGTTAGAATTAATCAAGGTTTGATTAAACTTTGCCAAACACAGAAACCCCCTGCATTTAGTTATGCTAATGAGCCAAGCCAACTGGGTAGAGGTAGCTGAATGTCAGGATGCTGTCAATGGCTCCCGGCTGGTTGCCCAGGAAAGTATGAAGACAAGGAAAAGTTTCTTACAGTCCTTTTTAATTTCAGTCTTTACACAGAGAGGCTATAGAAGCCAGCCTCTTGGATAATGGTGTTGTCCCAAGTGAATCCCCACCCACATTTCTCCCACTTCCTCATTCATCATCTTCACCATCTCCTCTACGGGTGCTGCTACCTGCCCTCTGTCTTTGAGCTCTTTGCTCTCCTACTTTTAAAGCTTGCCAGGTTCTGGGAGATGGAGGGTCTGGAATGCTTTCTAACGACAACATGTTGCTCTGGCTCTCCCATGATTTCCCAACTTTCCCCCTCATCTGCCTCTGAACTGCCACCTCCCTCAAATCCCTGTTGTAAATCTACACTGTCTTCCTCTTCCTCCTCCCTGGAAGGGTCAGAATGGGGAGATGGTCTCCACCACTCCTCCTCTGCCCAGTCCCTGACACTGGATGGGCCATTAGCAGGGGACAAAGGCTGGTGATGGATAGTCCATCCAGGAAACCATCAGAGGGCAAGACTGTTAGGCAAGGGGGCATGGCGCCCCTTCTTTGCTGGGTGCTAGCAGGCAGAGGCAAAGACCAGGTTTAGGGTTTCAACCATTTAGACGGGGGTGAGGTCCTTGGAATCAGCAGTGAGAAGGAGGGATGGAACTGTATGTGATGTGGGGATGACAGGCTGGAACTAAGAGACACAGAGGATGACTTTTCACTGTCCTTTGAATCCAGCGCTGCCCTTAAGGGGGAACCCAAGCCCTCAAAGGATGTGAATACTCTGCAATCCCTCCATCTAGGTGCAGGTTGTATATATGTGTAAATAAAACCATATATCATAAAGACACTGCAGTTTCTATTGTGCCTTGTTGTTCCCAAAGGGAACACAGACCCTGGTATGTGCACCTGCACCCCCTGGAATCTTGCACCGCTCATGAAGATTGGGGTGGTGTCAGGAGCGCCGATTTGGGTCCCAGGTTATGGAGGCCTAGTGCACTCAACGTGATGTCATATGCCCTGCGGCCTCAGAACCTGACTTTTGTGGGTGCTCGGGCCCCCAGGGCCCCCTAGAGTTGGTTGCCCTCTGTGGCATGTAACAATATGTATGCAAGCCCTGGGCAGATTGAACCAACATTCTCTCTAAAGAATCAACAAAGACTCTCCTCCTGCAAAAGAGGGGAGTGGTTGTGGGCGGGAGCTGGTTCCCGCCTCAAGCAGGGGGCGTTAGGCCCCCTGCCTCCTCTCACCTGGCTGGCGCACCACGCCCACGGGCAGGCACCCAACCAGGTGCCTTCGAAGGGGTGTGGACGGCAGCGTAAATCGCTGCTGCGCCAGCCACGCGGCCCTCACTCTTCGTCATCCCGTCGCGAGTCACCCACCCTCTACTCCCTTAGAGATCAGGGTCTCAGTTTTTTTTGGCCTTGCTATGGACCTTAGGTTGGTTGCCCTGGTTGTCCGGGAGGCCTGGTAGGAATTTTTCCATTTGGCATTAGGCTTTGTGGTTTTTTGGCCTACCTTGTAGCAATCGTCACAACTTTCGTGATATTGGTGGGTAGGTTAGGCATTGGAATAATGTGTTGTGGTGTGTCGAAGGGCTAGGTGTGGCCATCGCCTACGCCTTCAATTTTTGGGTATTCCGTTAAAGGAATCCGGCAGTCGTGTATTCTGTCCGATGGCTGCTTGGCGGGAGGCCATGGCACGACCCTCGGTGACACCAGGGGAGAGCTTATAGTTGGATTAGCATCAACAGGCTCCACCTACTGGTGAATAAACCTCCCTCTCTAGACTCACCCCTCTCTGAGTGGGTGGAGTCAACTGACATAATCCAATGCCTAAGCCAATACCTTTTTCACTTGCTGTAATCAATAAAGTTGTGGCCTTTTCTTGCCCATTAACCTTATATCACGTGTCCGTGTGTTTTCATTCCACTATGTGGGGATCGGGTCCTCGAACCACAAGGCGACTCGAAATTCCTTTTATCAGCTTTGGCTGAAATGCCAGCTGGGACCTACCTGAATGGAAATGGCTTGGCCACCGTTCCATACTTCCTCCTACCCTTTGACTTCAGTGTTTGAAATTAGCCAGGCGCCAGGCGTGTTTTGTGACTGACACAGGTCCAATTGTGACCACTTGGAAATCTCTGGATGCTAGATTGGCAACTGAGGAAATCAAAATGTCCCTTAGAGAAGGATCTGAAATACGGTCTTTGAAGCTTGAATTTGTTTTGTTTGATCTTTTGATGTGTAAACATTTGTTCTTTAAAATATAAAGTGGAATAGAAATAATAATAATAATAATAATAATAATAATGAAGTCCACTGCAAAACAAAAACAAACTAAAACAGCACCTAGACATTCCATTGTGGTGACCGTAACCTAGGTTTAAGGTGCCATTTGGAGATTAAATTATATAGATGGGTTTCTAACACTGCTTGGCTTGGCCTATTTATATCAATAATCATTATAGCAGCTCTGTAAGGTAGTAGTGGTTTGCAGGGTAATGCCTTTTAATGAATTCCTGAATCACAAAACTAATGGTCAAACACTACGCTAGATAGTGTATAGCATGTAGCTACATGCCTTGTTTTTCTTAAAATTTCTTAAGTTAATAACAGCGGGGTTGGGGAGGGTTATTATTGGGATCAAATAGCACAAGGGGGGGCTTATCCTGTCCCTTCCTTTCCCAGCCACAAACCCCTCCATCATACCCATGTGGCTATAAGAATTGGTATTTTTTAAAATCTCATTGGCGCCAATGGAACTTTTTCTTTTAAGCTTTGCAGCCATACATGGGGGATTTGGGATGCGGCTGTTGCTCCTATAAACCTCTCTGAAACTATTATTACTTTAAGAAAAACAAGACATCTACGCATTAAGCACCACATGTAGTTTAACATATGAACATTACTAGGAATCCGAAAAGCTGATTCAGGGAGCACCTGTTTTATTTTTTAATTTTTTTTCATGTGTATAAAGAACTGCAAATTACTACATTAATACGAGACAAACTGTGGTTAAGGTGAATGGGACCAGACAATTACGGCAGACTGAAAAACATTGTGGAGGGCTGGCAAAAATACTTTGCCCACATTTGTACACGGATAAAACGTCTGGCAAAACATGTCATTCCCTTCCATCACTGAGAAGTTGTTACTCAGATGCAGTGCTATTTTTCTAGAAAAAGTCGCTGGAACTCGCAATGAACACTTCCCTTATTCTCTTATAATGGCAATGGCACCTACCTGAGAGGTGCCGAAACTGAGTTCCAACTGAAAAAAAGCTCTCCTGAGATGTAATCTGTAAAAACAGACGAAAGGGTTTCATAACTAAATATACATTCCTGTGAGTTGAGAGATGAGTACAGCCCTGAATTCACTGGGATTTACTTGGGGGATAAGTGTACTTATTTATTTATGTATACTGTGTCATAAAATATATCAAAGTGGTTTACAGCAATAAAAACATAAAACCATACAATAAAAGCCATAAAAATATAGACTTAAAGCCATGCAAAACTTGTCAGGATGCTTGAACCCAAATATATTTACTCAGAGGCGAGTCGCACTGAGTTCAGTGGAAATTACTCTTAAATAAGGACTGCAGCCTTAACGTGATTATTCATCACTCACTTTTTCAGTGGAAAGAAAGGGCATACAAATTGTTGACATGCTGCATTGCTATCCTTTACTGGAATTTCCCATAAGACTTTTTTTCTGAGAAAAAATTATGTGATTTTTCTTTCCTCATTCACCTCTCCGGAGAAAAGGAAAGCCAATTGTAGAATTTTAGCTGAATGCTCTCCACCATTTTGTGTGTGTGTGTGTGTGTGTGTGTGTGTGTTGGCTGCCATCTTCTTCTCCCCTCCCTCTTCCAGTGCCTGGAAAGCGGCTAGGCCCGAGGCATTGTGGAGGATGCAAAATGGTGGCCAGGCTGCCAACTCAATGGCTGTTGCTGCCACTGCAAAGTGAAGGAAAACCTTAGGCCAAAGAGCAGCAGCAGCAGCAACTGTATTGTTGCCATGGTCAGCCTCACCCCTGAGAAACTGTTGTAGAATTTCTCGTCCCAGGGTGTGTGGCATGTGTCCTGGGGGGCGTGGCGTGCGTCCCAGGGGTGCACAGCGAGCGGCGAGTGCCCTGGCAAGTGCCGCCAATCAGGAGTCAGCATCTTGTTGCCCCCCTTCGGAATGGCACCCAGGGCAGCCCGCCTCCCCGCCCCCCCCCCCAGAGTGCCCCTGCCCCCTTGAAGAAAATTGGTGAAACGGTTCCTCCCAATTTCTCTTCCCAGAGCTGTCCCACCTATGAGGCAGGGTGAACCACCTGCCTCAGGCAGCGGAAAAACGAGAGGCACCACAGAGAAGGAGATGTTCCAGCAACATAGCTTGCCACTTGTCTTGCTTGCCCCCAGGTGGAGAAACCAATTAGCAATGCTTTGAGGAGCGCCTTGGCTCCCACTAAGTTTGGTAAGAGCCAGGGCACGGTGGTGGAAGGGGGAGCAGTGGCTGATGTTGTGGGGGCAGGAGGCAGCCATTTTCGTTTCTTCTCATTTGGTGAAACGGGATGAAATATCTGGCTTACAAATAGGATGGAGAATTTCAAGAAGCTGTTTACCTTATCTTTCTCTGTTTCTCATTCCACAAGCTGGAGTTGTACCCAGGGAAACATGATTAACAGTGTAGTTCTATAATGTGTGTTCAGTAGGGGTGCCAACTTGTCCCCCACATTGAGGGGGCCTGGTGTCACATGATGTATCCTACCCTCCCCGGGAGCGCTCGCCCGGCTGCAGGTGATGGTAGCCCCCTCAATATGGGGGGGTCGGCCCCCTGCCCACAAATATTGAGGGGGCTGAAGCCCCTTCCATCCCTATATTAGTTGGTGCCCCCGGTACTCAGATGTAAGCACCAGTGACCTCTGTGGGACTTTACTCTAGGTAAATAGGTACAGAATAGTAATTTCAGAGGAAATTTATTTTTGCTGTTTTTCATCTTCTGATTTCAATTCGTTGCTTTTATGTTTCTTTTCCTCGTGACTGAGCTTGATGATTTTTTGATGAGTTGGTGGGCTTTTAATATATCTCTGTCTGTCTATCATCTATTATCTATCTATCTATTTATCATCTATCTATCTATCTATCATCCATCCATCTGTCTATCATCTATCTATCTATCTATCTATCTATCTATCATCTATCAAATTATCCTTATTCTTGAAACAGTTTGCTTTCTGCTGACTTCTTAGACTTCCAAAATTTCAGTGAACTTGGGTGTTTCCTCTCTCTGTGTGTGTTTGCACACATGCATGCATGGTGTAATTTTGCCGTAGTTGTAAAATAAACAAGTAAAAAAAGAAAATCAGGCGAAGAAACAAATGTCACAGTAGTACCTCTGCTTTAACCTGACACCTTATTTATGTAAAGCCGCAATCTCATCTATATGTTCTTTAGTTTTATGTAGCTCCAGTCCTTCCACTGAGAACGTGCTGATTCTAAACTTCTCAGGAACTTCTCATAGCATTCAAAAAGAGTTGCACAATGGCTATGTGTGTAGTCTGCAAGGCATCTAAGGTAAAGTGCATTACGCCTCTGCGTAACTGATTGGGAGAAAGCCCTCCAGACTGCAATAATCAGCAGAGAATTATTAAAACCAAACTATTATCCCTTTGTCAAAAATTGTAAATGGCATTATTTACACGGGCCTCAATATAAGTACATTGTTTTGTGTTCTCTTTGCTAACTCCGTGACTGACTAAACCATTATTCTCTGAACGCTGCTCTGCTGAGATCATCCATGACAATGGTGTAAAAACAAACATGTTTTAACACGATAAAGTCACTATATAATTTTAATGTGGTGTTCCCTGCGCCAAAACCTACGTGTTAATTTCAGCTCCAGTCATAGTCGGGGAAAACATCCACTTCTTCCTCCTGCCCCCCACCCCACCCCAAATTGAAAAAATATATCATTTCTAGAAAGGGGGAGCAATAATTGTGCCTAGTATTGCAGTGTGCTGAGCATCAAATAATCCAATGTGCTGCTAAGTATTATGTATTCACACCCTTCATCAGTGGGAACAGAGGATTCAGAGCACTCCCCTTAATCATCTCCTTCCCTCAAAGCTTAGTAAGATTTCCAGAGACTCTTGTAGCTTCATTAATTCAAACCCTTGACATATGCTTGGGAGTTAAGTTTTCTTTGTTTAAAGAATCAGATGTCATCCTCCCAGCCGATTGTTAAGATAAGGCCCATTTCAGCCTTGAGTTTCTGAAAGAGAAGTCTCCTTCCTCGACCAATTTGAAAACTAGACTTGCTACTTTAAATGAGAGAGAGAGAGAGAGAGAGAGAGAGAGAGAGAGAATAATGTTCCCCAAACCATTTAGGCTGTAATCCTAAAGGTACTTGCTAGGGAGTGGGTGGCGCTGTGGGTAAAAAACCTCAGCGCCTAGGACTTGCCAATCGCATGGTCGGCGGTTCGAATCCCCGCGGCGGGGTGCGCTCCCATCGTTCGGTCCCAGCGCCTGCCAACCTAGCAGTTCGAAAGCATCCCCGGGTGCAAGTAGATAAATAGGGACTGCTTACCAGCGGGAAGGTAAACGGCGTTCCATGTGCTGCGCTGGCTCGCCAGATGCAGCTTGTCACGCTGGCCACGTGACCCGGAAGTGTCTGCGGACAGCGCTGGCCCCCAGCCTCTTAAGTGAGATGGGCGCACAACCCTAGAGTCTGGCAAGACTGGCCCGAACGGGCAGGGGTACCTTTACCTTTACCTAAGCCCTGCTGAACACAGTGGGACCTACTTTTAAGTAAACATGGATTGGCTTGCACTCTTTTCAGCTCCAGAAGCACTTCACTTTCAAACGACTTTGTACTATTTGGTGGGAATTGAGCAGATACTGTATTTTTCTGTGTTTAAGACAACCCCATGTATAAGACAACCCCTAATTTTTTAAACCCAAAATTAAGAAATTAATTTTGTTTAGCTTTTTTGGGGGTTGGGGGAGGTCACTTCCGCCAATCACTCACCCTCCTGCCCGCCACTGCTGATTGCTTGCCACAGCCACTGCCGATCGTACACCTCGCCACAGGTGTGCCATCGGCACACCTGCCCGGTCGTTGCCACCAACAGCTCACCCGCCCACTTTCCGCAGCCGCCAATCGCCTGCCCAATTGCCGCAGCCAATCGCCACCAGGCCTTGTTGCAGCTACCAATCACCCGCCCAATAGCCGCTGCCAATCTCCTGCTTGCTGCTGCCATTAATCACACATCCCCCCTCTGCATTCACTATTCATGTATAAGACAACACCCAATTTTTGCCTAATTTTATTTAGCAAAAAGCATCATCTCATACATGGAAAAATACAGTACTTTTCAGTGGAAGAAGCAGCTATATTCAATATATAAGACCTGAAATGATCAAGCACTCAAAACAAGCAGGACTGGCATCTAAGTATTGCAGTGTGGAGTACTACATTCTGTTGTGGCCACTCTGTTACATTGTCCCTCTCTTCTCTCCTATTCAGTCAACATCTAGGATCGCTCAGTCTTCACTGTGATGTTTTTGACATCCCCCTTTTCCCTTAACCTTTTTTTGTACTCCTGGGACTCCCCTAAGCCTACAGATGCCCCTCTTGTGTGTCTGCGTGGTGTTGTTTTGGCTATAAAAGCACCAGCATCAGAAACAGAAGGAAAAATGGATTACATTTCTCTTGTCCCAGGGACTTCTGGCAATTCTCTCACTGTGAGACATGAAGCTACAGGGAACCAGGCAGAGGGCCTTCTCGGTAGTGGTGGCCGCCCTGTGGAACACTCTCCAATCAGATGTCAAACAGATAAACAACTATTTGACTTTTAGAAGACTTCTGAAGGCAGCCCTGTTCAGGGAAGCTTTTAATGGTTGATGTTTTATTGTGTTTTTAACGGTTTGTTGGGAGCCACCCAGTGAGATGGGTGGCATATAAATAATAAAGTTGTTGTTGTTGTTGTTGTTGTTGTTGTTGTTGTTGTTGTACCTCAGCTTTCTGTTAAAAAGTGTCCAAGGAGATGAATTATTTAAATCCCTTCTATTAGCACTTTATGATCGAGATATTATTACAGTGGTACCTCGGGTTACATACGCTTCAGGTTACACACGCTTCAGGTTACACACTCCACTAACCCAGAAATAGTGCTTCAGGTTAAGAACTTTGCTTCAGGATGAGAACAGAAATCGTGCTCCGGTGGCGCAGTGGCAGCAAGAGGCCCCATTAGCTAAAGTGGTGCTTCAGGTTAAGTACAGTTTCAGGTTAAGTACGGACCTCCGGAACGAATTAAGTACTTAACCCGAGGTACCACTGTACTGTTTTCGTATGACATGGAAACACTTACTCGGGAAGTGTAACTTTCCCGCTTTGCAGGTAAGAGTAGTGTGATGACTACGATTTAAAAAGACAGGTGTAATATGGATTCCTGTTTTTCCCTTTTCCGTCTTGCTACTAGCAGCTTCAAGACCGGGCTGTTTAAATCGGGGGATCAGCCAAAGAGAAAGAGTTAAAGAACCAAACCATAAATCCTTCTTCCTGTTCCACAATCTAAATTTCCCCTCATCCTCACTGCTTTTAACTAAAGAGAAAAGATATTGGGACATCCATAACCAGATCTCCATTATCAGATCTGGTTTGTTCCAAATCTTCCCTGAACTCAATGACACTTGCTTCAAAATAAGCATGTTGAAGATCACTCTGTAAGCCGGGAGCTTAGACCTTGGAGACAAGGCAGAGGACCTATAGTCAGTAAATCCACTTCGGCTTTGTGAGGATGGATTGATGGATTCTGATGCAGAAATTGATAGGGATGCCTGGAGCAGGTCTGAGCAGGTGTTTACCTAAATGTGTTGCAGTATATAAGAGAAATTAGAATGCCATTGGTTAATTATCAGCCTTGAGTTTAATGGGGCAACTATTTTTCTCATTCCATTCAGATGTTCCATGGCTTGGCTGTCCCCAGTGCCAGATTTACGTATAGGCTAAACAAGCTATAGCTTAGGGCCCCACTCTCTTGGGGGGCCCCAAAAAAATTAAAGGAAAAAAACACCTGGATGTACATTTCCAAAATATAAGATAAAAAACAAATAAAATAAAACAACAGCAATAGTGTTTTGTGTTGTGTAGGCTCCTATGATGTAAATAATGGCCCCTTCCTGCTAGCCTTTTGTTATGTGCAAATGGCTTTAGATACCTATTAGGTCCATAAATTACCATTTAGCATATATTCAACACAAAAAACAGCAACAATTTGTTTTTGACAAAGGACAGCTGGACATATAAAGGGCCCTATTACCTCTTGTATCTTAGAGCCTCATCCAACCTAAATCCGACCCTGGCTGTGCCCCACCTTCCACTCTGCCTGCTTTCCAGTAGAACTTGGAGAGCGTCTAAAATTAATTGTGGAATTGTGGAATGCACAGTTTATCATAGTTTGAAGTTTGCACAGCCCCCTGCTCCTCCCCGCCACCTTTGTAGGCTATTGGTGTGCATGAGTGCATATGCAGTGATTTAAAAACCACGCAGAAAAGTCTTGCACTATGATTTAATCAGGGCTCCTGTGAGAATAGCTATGGGCATGGCATGGGTTAAATGAATCACAGGGCAGAAACCAAATGGAATAATGGAAAATTGTGGCAAGCTGTACATAGTGCATTAATTTGAACAAAGTTTGGAAATAAAAAAGAAGAAGGAAGCCTGGCAGATTTCTAATGATCAGATTTCTGATCATCAGATTTGCTGATGATTTGCAATATGGTAAGTTGGTACTGCAGTATGGAGAGACATACTGAGGGTGATAATTTGTAAAGCACGAATAAAATTTATTTGTCTGAACAGAAAATTGGCTCAAAATGTATCATTTTTTTGAAAGCCCTCTGCATCCTATTTGGTACTGGTGTGTGCAAAGGGACTAAATTTGGGCTGTGTGTGATTTCTGGCTGGAAAACCTGCATTTCTGGTTGATTCACTGTTTCTACAAGTTAACTGAGTTTGCAGCGTGAACACTCCACAGCTTTCATAGCAGGAGCTGTGCAATTTTAATCCCTCGACATTATACTGCTCAGGCGAGTAGACTACTCATATGAGCCGATATTTGCACTTACTGTAATATATAAGTTGGGAAACCCTCTCTCCATATGATACCAGGTTTTCAGATCCCTATGATGAGGATTCCTCAAGTATTCCTGTTTATCTACTTGACCCAGGCAGTTCAAAGAGTCTCACATAGTTAAAACAGTGTGAACATTTGCAAAGAGACAACAAAACACTGCAATTTCCGCACAATGCATGTGGAAAAGCTTGATCCGGGCCTCTCTGTTGATATGCTGGTCTGGAGCCAGCATATCAAAAATCAAGGAAAATATTGCCCCTATCCTTTGCCAGGGCTTCAGATGTAGCAGTGGCTCTGCTGCTGTATATGGAAGTTTTTAATGTTTGATGTTTTATCACTATTATTATTATTATTATTATTATTATTATTATCATTCTGTTGGGAGCCACCCAGATTGGCTGGGGAAACCCAACCAGATGGGTGGGGTATAAATAAGAAATTATTATTCTAAATTATTCTAAATTATTCAGCCCCTTTGCTCTACAGCTGGGAATTGGGATTGCTCCCTTAGATTGGAAACGAAGACCTGTGGCTCTCTAGATGTCACTGGACTACAATTCCCATCACCCCAACTTTTGGTCATGTTAAGTGGGGCTGATGGGAGCTGGAGTCCAGTAATATATTGTGGACCACAGGTCCTTCACTCCTGGCTTAAGGCTCGTCCATGCTTCTGTTTGTCCCATGCTCACATCGGTCCAAGAGGTTTTCTGCTTGTCATGTGTTTTCTATGCTCTAAGGTCTAAGTGGATTTTAATTTGTCCCACTATTTACTGCTGAATCAGAACACATGTCACTTTGCTGCGATGTACTCTAGCATATCTTATGGTAGAAAATGTTTGTGCTGCTTTCAATTTGTATCAATGTACTTTATATTTTAAAATGCGTAGTTTCGTGATGAGATCTTCATTTACCGTATTTTTCGCTCTATAAGACGCACCAGACCACAAGACGCACCTAGTTTTTGGAGGAGGAAAACAAGAAAAAAATATATTCTGAATCTTAGAAGCCAGAACAGCAAGAGGGATTGCTGCGCAGTGAAAGCAGCAATCCCTCTTGCTGTTCTGGCTTCTGGGATAGCTGTGCAGCCTGCATTTGCTCTATAAGACGCACACACATTTCCCCTTACTTTTTAGGAGGGAAAAAGTGAGACTTATAGAGCAAAAAATACGGTATTTATTTTAAAATGTCTACAATAGCTTATAGCATTGCCCCCCATCTTCTTTGACATTTCCAATGATACATTTCAATCATTTATATTAGATATATTTCCTAATTGCAACGTTCTCTATAGATAAACAGTACTTTTTCTAATGTTGCTTTGAACACCTTTACTTAATATCTCCAGTGGTTACTGTGCAGAATAACCTTTGACAAAATCTGCTACTTACTAGTATTTATGGCTTTCCACAAGGTGAAGAGGTTAGTTTCGACAAAGGGCAGGCATTAGTGCCTTTTTTCGAAAGCGTTTAGTGACTTCTAGCTCACAAACATGCCCGGTGTTCATAAAACATGTAGACATATGCTGTAAAATCTCTCTCTCTGACTGCTTTTACTGTAGACTAGGGCTGCGTACAAAAAAAAAAAAAGGTCAACAACTTTTGGTTTTTCCTAAAAAAAAAAAAAAACAGCAAGCACCCTTCGGTTTTTGCTCTTTGAAATATGACAACCCTACTGTAGACAATCAAACCGTTTGTTTTTAGATGTTACATATACTATTCCTGGTCCTTCCCAGCCTTCCTTTGGATACAGGAAATGATATTAGAATTTGATTATTTAGATGAGTGGCCTGACGCAGCAAAGCTGTGCACGCAGGCTGGATGAGTTCTTGGTACACGGTGGAGTTCTGCGTGCATGATTGTCATCATTGACTGCTAACATAAGTTTTTGGTTCTGAAATTCACTTGCTCGATTAGGACCACATAGGAAGGAAGTTGGTGCTCTGTTCACTGTAGGTTGTTTCTGTAGGGGACTACTTTCAGTGCTGCTTCATTTTGCACAAGATCTTTGGATCAAGCCCATAACTCTATGATGGCTTCCATGATATTGTGGATTTTGGCTTCAGCTATGCACACCTGTTCAATTCCTGCTAATTTGCTTGGTTGCAAAACAAATCCTTGCCCCAGTCCAGAGCTCCATAATATATCACGCAGGCGGTTGGCTACTGTAGATCTGTTTACTGAATGAGCCAAGCTATATCTGAAGACTTTGTAGGGGTTCAGAACTATAAAAGCTAGTGTTGTTGTTTGTTGTATACCACTTTCAGCAGAATTGCATATTGCTCTACCAAGTGATACATGATAAGGACACAGCCCTTTCCCAGCAACTTCCTAAGACACAAATTGCATAAGAATTTACATGTAGGAGTGTTTTGGCATATTTTCCTATACCAATTATTTTATGGTACTTGTGTCTTGCAGCTTGAGGCATTTCATGTTAATAAATTACCTGAAAGAGACATCTGTTTTATTGGTTAAAGCAGATAACTGGCTCCCAGAATGCCTGCATTGGGGCCCGTCAGTCTGTACTTTTTGCCCCATGCTTATAAGTGTACAGGTCTGTGCTTTAAAGCTCTATGTCTGAGCGTTCCCTCTGTCACTTTCCCTAGGAAAGGTAAAGGTAATGGGACCCCTGACCATTAGGTCCAGTCGTGGCCGACTCTGGGGTTGCGGCGCTCATCTCGCTATATTGGCCGAGGGAGCCGGCATACAGCTTCCGGGTTATGTTGCCAGCATGACTAAGCCGCTTCTGGCGAACCAGAGCAGCGCATGGAAACGCCGTTTACCTTCCTGCCAGAGCAGTACCTATTTATCTACTTGCACTTTGATGTGCTTTCGAACTGCTAGGTGGGCAAGAGCTAGGACTGAACAACGGGAGCTCACCCCGTCGCAGGGATTCAAACCGCCGACCTTCTGATCGGCAAGTCCTAGGCTCTGTGGTTTAACCCACAGCGCCACCCGCGTCCCTTTCCCTAGGAAAGCCCACTCTTTAATGCTGAATCGGAACAAATGGCAATTTGGGTTTTCCATGGATTGAATCAGCGGTAAAGAGTGGGTTGTCACGAGGAAAGCACCGGGGCAAAAAAAACAAACCCTAGTGTTTGGACATGGAGCTTTAAAAGACAGACCTGTGCCTAAAAACATGCCACAAAGGGAAATCTGGATAGGTGTGGTTATCATTGCCCCTCATGCTTGCAAGTTTTTTGCAGTGCCCATGTGATGTTGTTGGCATTAAAATGCCAACTTGCGTTTCCCTCCCTCCCCATCTTAATTCAGATTTTCCTTTTCTGGGGGAAAATAAATTCAATTCCGTTGTCAACTACCCATTGACAGTGACTCATCTGCCCCCATCTGGGAGCATCCTCGCTTTCTTTGCCTCTCTCCTCCCAAACAGCCTTTTCCATGACATTTGGCAAATGCCCCATTTCCCAAATCTTACTGTAACCAAGCCTTCAAGGTGCAGCTGAAATGAGAGCATGTTTTCTATCTACCCCACCTCCATTTCCTTCTCCTCTTTGTTCTGTCAACCCTGTGCAAAACTTTAGCTTGTAAGGCCCTTAGGATAAGGACTCACCTCCTATTTATTTGTCAGAGCCTTATGCACATTGATGATGCATTAATAAACAACAACAACGGCCAACAGCTCTGTAAATCATGTGCACAAAAGTTGTGGTTGTTTTTTAAATGCATCGGATTTATTATTTTGGTCCTTTTCATCCTTAAGATGGCACTCAGGATCAAAGAAAGGCTTTAGGACAATTATAGGTTATGCATCCTTCATTCCCAATCCAGCACTGAGCCAGGGGTTGAAGTAGATGAGATCCAAACTTCAAACTCCTTTCCAACTGTAAAATTCCTATTACAATGGTACCTCGGGTTAAGTACTTAATTCGTTCCGGAGGTCTGTTCTTAACCTGAAACTGTTCTTAACCTGAAGCACCACTTTAGCTAATGGGGCCTCCTGCTGCTGCTGCGCCGCCGAAGCACGATTTCTGTTCTCATCCTGAAGCAAAGTTCTTAACCTGAAGCACTATTTCTGGGTTAGAAATAACCTGAAGCGTGTGTAACCTGAGGTACCACTGTATTTTATCATCATGGAGGAGGGATGAGAGGAGGAGGCAGAGTGGCTCATATCACCAGTGGCTGTTGATTGACAGCAGCTGCCCGTAAAAAAAAAAAAAAGTTGCACCTTTATTCTGCCACCTCTTTAAGCTGGAGGCTGAGCTTAGAGAACGGAAGCTTTTGTTGAGAGTCCAGGTTGCTGTGCGTTAGAAAGGGGAATAGTTGAGTGAGAAAGTGGGAATTTTTCTTTTACCAAATGTTTTTGAAGGCCGTATCCAGATGCTGAAATATGCTACACGGTGATTATGAGACACAGCAACAAGCATCGTTTTGATGCTGTTGCACAAAACACCATATGACGGAATGTGCATTGTTTTCTTTTTGCTGGGAATGCCTTCATATGGAAAATGCAAGTCTGAAAGTGTGAAATATCATCAACAAGTAAGTTGGTTCTGTAAAAGATACCATCTCACTTGTGTTATCGCTGGTAATGAAGGTTTGCACACATGTCATAATTGGCCTCAGACTAGACGGAAAACTCCTTCATTGTGGCTAAACTATGGTTTAAAAACAAATGCCTACTTATATCATGTCTCATGGCACTCAGCCATGCATCAAACCTTTAATCTGCCATCTGGGGGGGGGGGGCAGAATCACATGTGATCCTCGAAACCTTTTATTATAGGAGGAAGGTTTTGAAGCTCTAAATACAGTGAGCGCAAAGAACAGGGCCATCATCACAAAGGTCAAGGGAATGTAAATAAAATGCAGCGGTTAATTTTGTTGGTGAATAGAGGGAGTCTGTGTTGTGCCTAAAGATAGCAAGCTTTTGAATTTCACAGAGCTACTCTGCAGGCAGGATTAAAGCCAGAATAAGAATCCTCTGCATGTTTATTGAGAAGCAAGACCTGCAATGGAGTGTGCTACTAGGTGACTTGCCTAGCCATTTTAAAGTACAGAGCCAGTGTGGTGTAGTGGTTAAGAGCAGTAGACTCGGAATCTGGGGAACCGGGTTCGCGTCTCCGCTCCTCCACATGCAGCTGCTGGGTGACTTTGGGCCAGTCACACTTCTCTGAAGTCTCTCAGCCTCACTCACCTCACAGAGTGTTTGTTGTGGGGGAGGAAGGGAAAGGAGAATGTTAGCCGCTTTGAGACTCCTTCTGGTAGTGATAAAGCGGGATATCAAATCCGAACTCCTCTTCTTCTTCTACAGAGAATTAAATAGTGTTTTTGGAAGAAGCTGAATTTGTTCCAAAGAAGTGAAAAGCACATTTGTTTTGACATGTGGTTGTCTAGGTGACATTGTTGGTTCGGACAGAGATAGACCCTAAAAACATTACACTATAAAGTCCCCTGTACATGGTAAATTCACAGAATGAAACTCAAAACAGTTTCGGTGATGCAAATTTTAGGATAGCCTCTTAGGTGGTCATTTATACGCAAGAGACAAATTTATCATCGTAAAATTGCTTTTGTTTTGCAGAGTCAAAAAGAGCAATCGTATAAAGCTTAAAAACAATAACATCTTACATCATCTGAAAATGTTAATTTAGAAACTGTTAGATAGTAAAAGGTAAAGGTAAAGGACCCCTGACAGTTAAGTCCAGTCGCAGACAACTCTGGGGTTGCGGCGCTCATCTCGCTTTACAGGCCGAGGGAGCCAGCGTTTGTCCACAGATAGTTTTTTCGGGTCATGTGGCCAGCATGACTAAGCTGCTTCTGGTGAAATGGAACACCAAAACCAGAGCAGCACACAGAAACGCTGTTTACCATCCCACCGCAATGGTACCTATTTATCTACTTGCACTTTTTGGCGTGCTTTCAAACTGCTAGGTTGGCAGGAGCTGGGACCCAGCAATGGAGCTCACCCCATTGCAGGGATTTGCACTGCCAACCTTCTGATCGGCAAGCCCAAGAGTCTCAGTGGTTTAGACCACGGCACCACCCACATCCCGTTAGATAGTAGTTGCTATACAAAAGTTAGTCTTGGTATTGGTTAGTCTTGATATTGGTAGTCTTTTCTTCCAGCTAAAGTCTCTGTAACTTTAGTATTTCCAAAGCCTTGAAAGAAAGCAGCTATGTGAAAAGTCAAGCAATTATAATTAAATATGGGTTTTTATACATGCAGTCCTGGTGTTAGCACTCATGAAAATTAGGCAGCCACAGTCACCCCAGCACCATGGTAAGGACCACCAAGACTGATGCCTGGTCTGTACTTGAGCCCACAGATCTGTCCATGCTCAAATCTGGACTTAACTTATACAGTGGTACCTTGGTTCTCAAACTTAATCTGTTCTGGAAGTCCGTTCCAAAACCAAAGCGTTCCAAAACCAAGGTGTGCTTTCCCATAGAAAGTAATGCAAAATGGATTAATCCGTACCAGAATTTTAAAAACTACCCCTAAAACAGCAATCTAACATGAATTTTACTATCTAACGAGACCATTGATCCATAAAATGAAAGCAATAAACAATGTACTGCAGCCACACAATCAATTAATCAATCAGTATCTGAACTGGGTTCCCCACAGTCACATAAAGAAACAAAAAAGCCACAAAAACACAAAATAAATATAAAAAAACAAACAGACCTCAGCATCACACTCAAAACGGAAGTATGGCACTCAAATCAGAAGTGTAGCACTCAATACGGAGCACGTTCGGCTTCCAAAGAAAGTTTGCAAACCAGAACACTTACTTCTGGGTTTGCAGTGCCTGAGTTCCAAGTTGTTTGAATACCAAGGCATTTGAGAATCAAGGTACCACTGTACTGGACAGTTGTGAAGGGCCACCCACCTTTTGGAATTTCCACAATGCCCCCAAAATAATCCTCGCGAAGTTGTTTCCTGTTGTCACTGCTGCCGTTAAGCTTGCTAAGGTACCCTGCTGGTGTGGCGGGGGGCACTGGAGGGTATTTTGTTAGCAGTTCCCTCACATCTGTCTGCATACTACCACCTAAGCTTCTGTCCAAAGGGTCAGAACTTCCATCATACATACCTTCCTTTAAACTCTGCCTGTGCATAGAAGAAGAAGAAAAAGTAATCTTTGTCAGCAGTTCTCAGACCAACATGTTAAAGCAGGAGTGTGTGTGTCGGGGCTATCTTGCACCGTTTTTATCTAAGTTTCTCCTCACTTCTAGAAAAAAGAAAGCCACGGTTTGTATTTCACCTTTCCGTCTGCATTCTCTTTAGAGAACCAAAATTGGGTTCTCTCCAATGCTACAGTTTTATTCCCACAACAGACTTCCACATGTGCAACAGAAGTTCTCCGGCTGCCTGCAGCCTCCCATGCCCTCAAAATCTTCTCCAGAAGGTTGAGGAACCCTCTGGAGCAGATTTGGGGGGCACTTGGGGCAAGGAGAGGAAGGGAAAGCCCTGTTATTTGACCAAAAAACTGCTTGTGCTGTGTTTGATACAATCCGTTGTTTATTTCTGAATTAGATTTTTCTTCTTCATTAGATTTGTGTACATTGAGCAACTCTAAAAACTCTTATATTAATGAGTCAAATTCCAGTGCTAACATAATTAATACTCTTATGAGTTAATTTCCCTTCTCCCTATTATAGACTCTGTCACATTGGCTAATGCAGCCACAGCAAACTGTGTCTGAAATATAACTTCCTAATCTGTTGGCTGCCATTCACAAATGTCTGTTCCCTTTTTATACCCGAGCAGTGCAGAATTAATTACTGTATTTTTCCTGTATAAGACTAGGTTTCCCCCCTAAAAAATAATGTCAAAAATTAGGGGGGCATCTTATACTCTGGGCCATCTCCTCCCATTTTCTTAAATCTGAGTCCCCCAAAATACATGGGAGCGTCTTATAGATGGAAAAATACGGTATGTGCATTCTTCAGATTTTATAAGCCCCCAAATCCTCACTTGTCATCTTTGTGGGTACAGTCTTCTCAAGACTGATTGCAATTTAAAAGTGTCCCTTTCTTTGCATTTTTGACATCTTTCTAAAGCATGTATCTGATCTTCTGCTCCACTTTCACACAAACTGGATTGTCTTTCTGTTTACACCAACGAGTTTGTTTGAAAGGTCGGGGAAACCTAGCAGAGCTCAACTTCCCAGGGAACACTTTTATCAGCTCTTTCTTCTTCTCATAGCATAATTGCTTTGGGATTTGAAGAGTTGGAGTCTTTGCCTGTAAAGTATCATCAACTTGACAATATTTAGCAGGGAACTGGAACCAAACTTCAAAAAGTCCTTAAATTGGGGGTGTGGGGGGTGTGCGGGCAGAGACGTTTCTTTAGTCAGCACAAACGAACTTCATTCAGATTCCAAAAGGGATTTTTTGTGTGTGGCATTAACCGTGTCATTGTATTTAAAGTCACGATATTTCTGTGCACACATTTGCCATTAGAGGCTGCTGTCACCCTGTGCTTCTCTTAAGTCCCTGGGCCTGCATAGCAGTGAAATCTATCTCTCAGAGGGAAAAGTCGGAATGAACCAGACTCTTTTGCTTATCTCCTTTAGAGCTTTGACATCTGAGTTGAAGAAATGACCCCTGCAGCTTTCTGTAACCAAAACCTTTTAAAATAGATCACTCTACTGCCCCTCACCCAGGCAAAAGAGGATTTGAGTTTAAATGCCCATTCAAAAACGTAATCCATTTTTGAAAACTCTTTTTGAATAGTCAGACTACTTCGTTGTTGTTTTTTTTAAATACTCCTATCAGAACTAGTCAAACACATCGAGGCATTCCCCCCCCCCCCCCGTTTAAATTCAGGAAATGTTGCCAGTTTCTTCAATTATGTTTTGCATGGTGGTAGAATTGTTGGGAGAAACAGTATGGAGTCAGACCTTTAGATAACAACCAACAAAGCCTTACGCATTTTGTATCCTGATAATGTTAGATACTGCCTCGTCTATCCTGATCTTTGAAACCCACCAAGAAGAACTTACTAATATTTTCATGCCCTCATCTATCACACTCAGTTGACAGGATCATGAAGCAAGGTGTTCTTACCCCTTCACACTTACACCCCTCCACACAATTTAGCATGTGGGCATATTATTGAGTCGAGAATGCTTAGTGTGATCTAGGTTACATGAGTTGGAAGCTGTGGGGTGGGTACAAAGGAAATGTACAGTCCCAAAGATGCCCTATTGCTTTTTCCGAGAGTAAAAAGGTACCTTCTTTCAGTTCAATCCGGCACTTTCCTCCAGTTCTGCGTAACATAATGTTTTGTTAGATTGTCATAATAATCTATGGGCAAAGCCATTGTGTTTCATTGATTGTACAGCATAAAAGAAAACAAATATCCAAAGCTCTTAGGATTAGACAAAACCATGAAGGTTAAAGGTATGAATGGCTAATGGTAATAATGGCAATATACCACATACGGGACCACTGAATACCAGTCATTGGGGAACCAGAGAGGGTGACTGAGATCATGTGGGCCTCTTGTAGGCACCAAGTTGATCACTGTGGACCACAGATCCTGGATTAGATTGGTGTTTGGTTTGACCCTGCAAAAGTCTTCTTATGTTCTTACTATCAATGAATATTAGTTCTTACAATCTTACAAGGTTCTTATAATCAGTGCTTCTTTTGTGGGGCGATGCAGAGATATGCATACCCCTAAACATTTTCTGAATCTCTACTTTTATCTATTTACTGTATTTATTTCCCCGATTTGAACTATAAAATGGTGATTTTCTTGAGTCAAAATAAGAGTACCCCTAAACATTTTTTTTTTAGAAAAAAGCACTGCTTATAATTAATATCAAGTTATTACAATTAAATGCTCTTAGTAGTACTACTACTAGTACTACTACTAGTAGTAGTAGTAATATTCTGTCACTAAACACTATACTAATCACAGAATAATAATAATAATAATAATAATAATAATAATAGGAATACAATGTAAGCACCAATTACTATTTTCCAGGGTACTGATTTCATGTGAACTGGCCTGAGATCTATAGATGAAGGGCAGTATACAAATTTAATAAACAACAACAATAATAATAATAAATTTTACAAGGTCCAGGATCCTCACAACGCTGTTGGCAGGTGTTAAATGTGCAAGTCAATCTTAAAACTTGAAAGTAAATTCCATTATTTCACTGGCATTTACTTCCAAAAAAGTAAACGTTGTGCATCATACCATTTCCTCTGAAATTCTAAGCATACTTACAATAAAGTAAGCCCCGTAGAATTAAGTGGACCTTACTTCCAAGTAAACAAGTCCGGGGCTCACGCTGTTAGGCTTGTAAATAATTCATACTTATCTTTGAAAGCTGTTCCACAAATTTTGCTGACTATCGCTGCAGAGTCTTAAATTGATGGCATTGATTCATTTAAGTATAGCTTTTGTGCTCTTTGAAAGCTTAGCAGATGTTTAAATTGTTTACAGCAAGTAAAAAAAAAAATAGTCAGCATTTTACCAATTAATTGCATCGTAACACATTCTGTAGGTGATGTTTTGATTTGGAGCAATTTGTTAAATGGTACTTGAGGGTTGCTATTTGTTCCCGTCTGTTAGTTGCTTTGCTAATATAATTATTTCATGCGTAGACAGTTGATGCCATGTTGATTCCAGAGAATAAATGAAATAGTGTGTGATATCCAGCTATAAGGCTATGTATACACCATACCTTTAAAGCACGCTCAAAACACATTTTCTCCCTCAAAGAATTCTGTAGTTTTCCCCTCACAGTGTTACAATTCTCGGAACTCCTTAACATACTACAGTGCCCAGAATTCTTTGAGGGAGAAAATGTGCTTCAAATGTCTGTAATCAGTGTGTACTCAACCTCAGTCATACTCAGAACAGACTCCCTGAAATTAACTGACTCAAGTTACTGAAGCCTACTTTGAGTATGACTTAATTAGAGTTGCCGCATTTTCTTGGCAAAGTTGTTGAGCTTTTTTGAACTGCCGGTAAATTTCAGCGATTTCTGCCCGGACGCTGTTTACAAAGACTGAATACCAGCTATGTTTAGGAAAATCCAGGCAACCCTAACTTAGTTGGATATTACCCAGTAATGTTGCTTTTCATTTTTTTATCTAAAGAAGAAAATATTGTCTAAGTTGCAGAATTTTTTTTTATGCCTGCTGAAGAGATTACGATTATATTATTCTTCACCCCAGTTCTAGCAATGTTTAAAAGGTAAAGGTAAAGGGACCCCTGACCATTAGGTCCAGTCGTGGCCGACTTTGGGGTTGCGGCTCTCATCTCGCTTTATTGGCCGAGGGAGCCGGTGTACAGCTTCTGGGTCATGTGGCCAGCATGACTAAGCTGCTTCTGGCGAACCAAAGCAGCGCACGGAAATGCTGTTTACCTTCCCACCGGAGCGGTACCTATTTATCTACTTGCACTTTGACGTGCTTTCGAACTGCTAGGTGGGCAGGAGCAGGGACCGAGCAACGGGAGCTCCCCCCGTCACGGGGATTCGAACCGCTTACCTTCTGATTAGCAAGTCCTAGGCTCTGTGGTTTAACCCACAGCGCCACCCGCGTCTAGCAATGTTTACTCGGAAGCAAATCATACATGCACACACACATGAATGCACACACCGCTACACACGTATTGGAGTGGGGAGGTTTTGGCTGAATAAGGCTAGGCAATAAGGTAGCACAGTATTGAGTGGTACTTTGCATATGCTGAAAATAGAATTGGTTTGGTTCTGTCTCCTGTTTTTCAATGCCCTCTAACACTCAAAGATATAGGAAAGAATGTAGGGGCCTCTGAGCATGTGCAAAGGGAATTTCCTTCACTACTAAGGACATGCAGTGCATGTCACCATATATTAAAGGTTAGGCAATGTTTTCAGGGTCATGAGTGTGACTGTCAGAGCGGTGTCATATTTTAAATCTATTTAAGCACTTGCTCCAAGCAAGGGGAAATCCAGTCACCAGGTATTCTCCAGGGATCTAGGAAAACAAATCATGGCAATTAAACCACGATCTCTTTTGTAGCAGGGTAACCCAAAAACTCAGCGATGGACAAGAGCTGCCTAAAGCACAAAGGCATACCTTCCAACTGTTATATTATCTCATTTTACTGTGTTTTTCTGGTAAGTTGTGTTGAATATAGTGGAAGGAGTTCAAAGCCAGGAAATCTGGAATACTTCCACAGCTGATTTGTCCATGACCCCATGGTATAGCTTGAATTACCATCACTGAGAGCCATGTCGGAGTGAGATCATTCACAAATTGTGTACAGGTGCTTCCCCGTCTTGAATCAAGTTCAGCATTCCTAAGGATGTCTTCGTTTGAAATTCTAGGTATTTTGCGCTGGGATGTGTGCGTTACAAGAAATGACATATTTTGAAGTTAGCTTTCCAAATCATAACTGCCAGGCATGTGATCTGTTTTAATTCCGTTATTATTTCTTGCTGTCTAAATGCTAATTTCCATTTTTCAGATGTGAATGGTATAGTAATCACCAATGCTATTTTTCTGGGGATTCTCAAGGGTATGCAATAACGATACTACTTCTCTTTTTTTAAAATGTTAAAAGTATGGCAGTTACGGTAACAACTTCATGGTAAGTACCGGCCCTTTCTTTTTCTTTTTCTTTTTCTTTTTGCTTTTAAAAAAGCACTGGTAATCGCATTGGAGGAAGAATTGTAGAAGCGATGCCATGCCTTGCCCCCAAGACTGAGGGGGCCAGGGGCCACGTGGCATGCTGACGTTACTCTCTCACACCACAGGGCAGGCTGATGTGTCATGTACACACTCTGTGACTTGCATGCCTGATGCAAGCACACCCTGCAGCGTGCATGCATGACAGCTGTGGAATTTTGAGGGATCCTGCCCCCCTCCTTGAAAATATTTTGGGGAGGCCATTATTATTATTATTATTATTATTTTATGCCCTGCCCATCTGGCTGCGTTTCCTCAGCCACTCTGGGCTCTCAGCAGAATATTAAAAGCACAATAAAACATCAAACATTAAAAACGTCCCTAAACAGGGTTGCCTTCAGATGTCTTCTAAAAGTCAGATACAGTGGTACCTTGGGTTACAGACGCTTCAGGTTACAGACACTTCAGGTTACAGAATCCACTAACCCAGAAATAGTACCTCGGGTTAAGAACTTTGCTTCAGGGTGAGAACAGAAATCTTGCGAGGTATGAAGTTTACGGCATGTAATGCCCTAAGAGAGAATATTATGAAAATGATATACAGGTGGTACATGACCCCAGTCAAGCTTGCAAAAATCTATCATTTGCCCGATAATAAATGCTGGAAATGTAAAGAAACTGAAGGTACATTCTTTCACCTTTGGTGGACGTGCCCAAGGATTAAGGCTTTCTGGGAAATGATATATAATGAACTGAAAAGGTATTTAAATATACCTTCTTGAAGAAACCAGAGGCCTTTCTTCTGGGCATTGTCGGCCAATTGGTGCCAAAGAAGGACAGAACTTTTTTTATGTATGCTACAACAGCAGGAAGAATACTCATTGCAAAGTATTGGAAGACACAAGATCTACCCACTTTGGAAGAATGGCAGATGAAGGTGATGGACTTTATGGAATTGGCAGAAATGACTGGCAGAATCCGAGACCAGGGAGAAGAGTCGGTGGAAGAAGATTGGAAGAAATTTAAAGACTATTTACAGAAATATTGTAAAATTAATGAATGATAGAATGATGTTGGATAGTAATTAAGCGGTTTCTAGCTGTAATGCTCTAAGAGAATATGAAAAAAGGGTTATAAATGGGTTAAAATCTAATGGTGAGGATTTGCTGAACCAATAAAATTGAAGTGGAATACAAAAAAGGGAGGTACGAGGAGGTCCGGGAAACAAGTTAAAGGAAAATAAGTAATAGAAAATATGTGTGTTTTTAACTGTTTTTATTTTGTATTTTTCTCTTTTCTTTTTCATTTTTACTGTAATATTTCAAAAAACCTTAATAAATATCTTATAAAAAAAAAAAAGAGAACAGAAATCTTGCGGTGGCAGCGGGAGGCCCCATTAGCTAAAGTGGTACCTCAGGTTAAGAACAGTTTCAGGTTAAGAATGGACTTCCAGAACGAATTAAGTTCTTAACCTGAGCTCCCACTGTAGTTGTTTATTTCCTTGACATCTGATGGGAGGGCTGGCACCACTACTGAGAATGCCCTCTGCCTGGTTCCCTGTAACCTCACTTCTCACAGTGAAGGATCCGCCAGAAGGCACTCGGAGGTGGACCTCATTGTCCGGGCTGAACGATGGGGGTGGAGACGCTCCTTCAGGTATACTGGGCGGAGGCCATTTAGGGCTTTAAAGGTCAGCACCAACACTTTGAATTGTGCTCAGAAACGTACTGGGAGCCAATGTAGGTCTTTCAGGCTTGTCCCCCTCCGATGGTGCCTAGGAGTGATGCTAATACTGTTAGAATAATTATGTTGAAAAGGGAAAGCAGAACATACGAGGAAGAGGGGGTGCACTAATGCCAATAACCTACTAGCTGTACTTGATGACGTTTATTATGTAAAAGGAAAGTATTTCAGAGACTTTTGGCTGAGTCACACATGCAGGGACATCACTTAATTACTTGAGGTTTGACAGCTGAATGTGTGAACTGAATCTGCTGAGGGGCATTGAATTGGAAGTGACGTTATATCATATGTAACTCCTGTTAGTGATGGCTCAGATGCACATGGAAGCCATTTTTCGCCATTACAGTCAAGGGATGAATAGCCTATGTAGATCTGTGCCCTTTTTGTGCGCGCGCTATATGTTTCCTTCTTTGGTGATTGAGATGTGCTCAAAGTCAGATGCTTGCTCAGCCATGAATTTACGGAGCAAGTTCTCTCACTGTCTCTGGTGCCTTCAGGGGGTTAGGATGGTTTGCGCAAGCATCTCTCCACTGAAAATGTGCTGCTGGGGGAGAGCTGTGTCCAGGCATGTGGGAAACTAGTGGCTCTTTTGCTGGCAGTAGCAGGTGAAAAGTTCTGAAACGGGGAAGGGATTTCAGAGCAGGACTCCTGTACCTGCTGAATCTAAAGCAGTTCAGATTCTTTGAGCCTCTCAGTTGTGCCAACTGGGAGCAGGAACTGCAAAGGTGAGAAATAAAGTTTCCCCACATTCCTCCCTGGCCAGTAACTGTCAGGAGCTCGTCCTACTCTCAAGTAGGACCCTGGCAGAGACACATGCCCAGCTGGCATGTTCCCGCCCTCCTGGTCAATCGTTTGGGAGCTTCAAAAGCTTTCTTCTGCCTGAACATCACAGCGACTGATGCCAACAGACATCGGCACACTTAGGGATCCACAGAGTCTTCGCAGCTTGTGTAACAGACCTCAGCAACTCAGCATTTTGGCTAATCTACTTTATTTACATATAAACACACATGGAGCACTGCAACATGGCTCCCTCTCTCTCTAGCAACAGACAGCAAAGAGAAAAAGAACAAAGAACAATACAGTGGTACCTCAGGCTAAGTGCTTAATTCGTTCTGGAGGTCCGTTCTTAACCTGAAACTGTTCTTAACCTGAAGCACCACTTTAGCTAACGGGGCCTCCTGCTGCTGCCGCCGCACCACCAGAGCACAATTTCTGTTCTCATCCTAAAGCAAAGTTCTTAACCTGAAGCACTATTCTGGGTTAGCAGAGTCTGTAACCTGAAGCGTATGTAACCTGAAGCGTATGTAACCCGAGGTACCACTGTAGTCCCACTTCAAGGAACACAGTAACACAAACATCCCGTCACTTCTCACTTTGTGGAGTCAAAACATATACCGTCATGTGATAGACAAAAATCCCATGACTGCAATCACGGAGCAGGAATTCTAACAGTAACAAGCCAGCAGGACTTGAGATGTGGCAGAGAACTATACCATTCTCAGCAACTTCACTTGAGATTGCTCTGCAGTTCATCTGTGTACGGAGCTAAAGATTGAGAGGGCCACATTTCCTCAGTGGCAGAAATATAAGGTGACAATCTTACCCAAACTTGCTACTTTCACAGGTGCTATATCAGACAATGTGGAGCTTTGGAAGAGGAGGGTTAGGTCCTCTGCTCCCAATGTGGAGAAACGTCTTGCATCTCTCCATGAAAAAAGTGAAACGTGAAAGCAGCATGTTTGAGCATTTATTTTCAAAAGGAGCTATCGTTCTCCAGAGCAAGGAGTTCCACAGCTCTTTGTCAACCACTGAAAATATTTATCCACGCATTAAGTTTCTGCTGGACACACTACTAATATTACCTGCCTGCAGGGGTGCCAACCTGAATAAAATATTGTGGTGGCCCAGGTAAAATATTATGCAGGGCCCGCCCCACATAATTGATCACATGACGCAGTGTACACACACCATTTGAATAGAAATGGCCATAAATTTTGTGGGGCCCCGGCCCCTTCAAATATTTTATTGTGGGGGCAGAAGCGCCCATGGCCCCTAGGAGTTGGCTCCTATGCTTGCATGCCCAAATACAGTGGTACCTCGGGTTAAGTACTTAATTCATTCCAGAGGTCCGTTCTTAACCTGAAACTATACTTAACCTGAAGCACCACTTTAGCTAATGGGGTCTCCTACTGCCGCCGCGCCGCCGGAGCACAATTTCTGTTCTTATCCTGAAGCAAAGTTCTTAACCTGAAGCACTATTTCTGGGTTAGCGGAGTGTGTAACCTGAAGCGTACGTAACCTGAGGTACCACTATAATGTGAAAGCTCAAGAAATATAAAGGAGAGGTCTCCTAGGTGGGTTAGCCCTAAGTGAGGTGGTTTTATTAAATTCCCTCTGTATTTGCTGCATGGCTTTTCGATTGCATTTCCCACCTTCTCATTGTACATTTTCAGGGAAGATACATATTTTTTAGGATGAATAGGTTTGCGCTGCCGTTGGGGTCCTTCCCTGAGTACCATTTCCCAATCAGCCGTGCCAAGGACGATAAACAAGCCACTTAAAACCAAAGGCTGTCTTGTTTTTGTTTTATTTTTTTTTTTTGTTTGAAACTTGTGATGCTGATACTCCTTAGGGGACCCTCACTGTCAGCGTTTTTCTTAATTTTAATTCATTTTGAATATATATATATATATATATATATATATATATATATATATATATACTGTATATAATACCAAGGTTCACAGTGACATGGTCAGGCTTTTCACAACATCCTTTCCACCAAGTTCAGTGGCTGTTTATTTTAAATAAGCCCCCCACCACCACTTCAAGTTAAAGTTGACTAAGAATTAGCAGTGGATTTTAGTTGTATAAAGCAACTTTAAAATCACATGTAGGTATATTAAAGCCATAAAGTTTTAAAAACACACAAAAACACCACAGCATGAAGTTTAAAACATTTTCTTGTATTAGAGGAACAAGTTTTCTGAGAGGGGTGAGAGAGGAATGGTATCAACTTTCCACACAACTTGTGTGTTTTCTGACACCTGCCCTCCTCCGAATGTCATGTTGGAAATTTGATTTATTCCGTTAACAAACCATTGCCAGAAAAAGGGATTTAGAACTGGGATACCCACTAAGAAAACGAAACCCAGTAATGAAATACATGATGAAATTTTCAACTCGGCCTTTCCCATGTGTTAACAGGTTCTTAGATCTCAATCCCTGTAGAAAATTTCCCCAAACCTGAGCAGTATAATGTAACCACTTTTTACTATTACAGCTAGAACAAACCACTAATCCTCTGAGTAAACCTTTGAAAGCATTAGGCCTCATTTATGGTAAATTCCTTACACAGTTGCCAGTGTTACCTCTGGTAATATAGAGAAGATACCCCACCTTCCTCTTTATAAATATTTTTAAATGCAAAATCAGTTTGTTTGCTTTTGTGTAACATGGTCCTAGACACAATGATAACAACTGGTTCTAGTAAACTGTGTGGATTTTTTTTGGGGGGGGGGGTGTTACCTTACAAAAATGAAATGTCTGTAGTTTAGGATGTATGTAAAAGTTTGGAGGGGGGATAATATTGAGCTATGGTAGAGCTTTATTGACCTGCTCTTTGGCCGTGAAAATATCCCAAATAATAGTTGTGCTTTGTACTTCTGTATCTGCGAGCAATTCTGTAATGCAAACAGAACTCAGTTTTCCTAAATTTTGTATTATTCAGATATTTACATACCAGATTATTTTGATGAATGAAGGTGTGTTGTGGTTGATTTTCACTGCCCTATGCTTACAATATGTATGTTCTCCAAGAGGGGTAAATAATTTCACTAATGACAATCGCAAACCAAAGTCACATTGTTCTGATAAAACTGCCTGCTTGATTCAAGAAACGGGCTTTAAGCTGAAAATGCTCCTTAAAAAAATTAATTCAATAGTGTAGCAATCTTTTCTCCAAAGCAAATTTGAGCTATTTCATAGCTCCCGGGCACATATCAAGCTCTTGGCAGAAGTAAGTGTGTGTGTGTGTGTGTGTGTGTGTGTGTGTGTAGGGGAACGGAAATGTTCCTATATGTGCAAGTAGAGGCAAATCTTCTCATTCCAACAGAGATCTCTTGTCACATTTTTCTTTCGCTTGCCAAAGGAACCTCTGCTCCATGAATCTGACAATGGGCAGAGTTGGCCTGCCAGGCTCTGCAATATATTTACATTGTGCTACCTGTTCTACCAGTGATAAATTCAAACTATTGTCTAGAATCTTAGAAACCTACTCTCTGTCTTGCTCAGTTGGAGGAGCTGAACTTGGATGCTGTGTTTATCCTGCCAGCAAATGGCAACAGCCGTCAACTCCATTGTGAAACGAATAGAAGGACTCTCCTTCTGGAGGAATGAAAAGACAGTGGTGTCTCTTAATCTAGTTAGCTGCATTTCTGTTGGATGTGCCCTAAATTTCACGCTCAGCTTCGGCCTCCTCCTTTGATAATCTCCAGAGAGCCCTCGGGTACAGAAAGCCATTATGTTAATTGGCTAGCAAATTTGTTAAATGTGCAGAATGGGCTAAAGGTCACTACATATGCAGTACATCACAGTGCAGAGAAGTGGTTAAGTGTTTGGTAGTGCTCCAACACAACAGGAAAAGGAAGGGTTGCAAGGGCACGGAGCTGCGCAGAGCTGCATTTTCAAGATACAATCTGCTGATTTCTTTATTACTCCTCATTGCATACAACCCAGCATGCATCTGTTGCGCTGCTATAGCCCTTCCATAAGCCCAACACTCCGACATACATTATAATGCTAGTTTTAAATGGCCCAGGGTCACCTGGATCCAGCCCATTTGCTCCTTTCTTATTTCTTTACAGTGGTACCTCAGGTTAAGTACTTAATTCGTTCTGGATGTCCGTTCTTAACCTGAAACTGTTCTTTACCTGAGGTACCACTTTAGCTAATGGGGCCTCCCGCTGCTGCCGTGCAATTTCCGTTCTCATCCTGAGGTAAAGTTATTAACCTGAGGTACTACTTCCGGGTTAGTGGTGTCTGTAACCTGAAGCGTCTGTAACCCGAGGTACCACTGTACTTGATTCCCCCCCCCCCACCCCATGTAGTCCAACATGCAACCTAGATTTTTGCATTTATTTTTATTTTCCACCCCCTATTGAGAAACTGGTCTTATTCCCAAAATAAAAGCTTGTTGCCAACTGATTCTGCATTCCCCTACAGAGGGTCCATTTGCAAACCGATGAAAGTGGTCCCAGCAATAGGGGTTATAGCTAATATTTTTGGGTGTATACCAAGATTGCAGCCACCTCTTTCTTCTCCATTTGCCTTGGGTGCATGCAGGAAGCAAAAGGCATGGATAACCTATTAAAGGGAGGGTTTTCAAATTAAAGGGAGGAGCCACACCTACCTTGGTGGGGGCAGGACCTGGAATCAATTTAGACTGAAAGCGCCATGTGGAGGACAAGCACAAACGATTCCAGATTGAAGATTCAGGTAGGTAGCCGTGTTGGTCTGACACAGTCAAAATAAATTTAAAAAATGGAAAATTGTCCAATAGCACCTTAGAGACCAACTAAGTTTGTTCTGGGTATAAGCTTTCATGTGCATGCACACAAAAGCTTATACCCAGAACAAACTTAGTTGGTCTCTAAGGTGCTACTGGACAATTTTTCCACTTTTTTATTTATTTCAATTCCAGATTGAGTAAAACTACATTTTTTGGGGGGCAGTACAAATGGGGTTGTATGCGTGCATCTTCCAGTCTTTGCCACAGTAGCTCACTCCACATTACAAAGTTCTCTAGCCTCCTTCCTCTCTTTCGTCTCCTTTCCTGTTCCTTTCAAGGTACATTCCTGCTCCTTTGGCTTGTGCCTTATTTTCTCCCACCTCTTGTTACCAGCATAACACATTCATTGTTGTCTTCCTTGGGTGTGGCCTGTGAAGTAGCTTCCTCAGACTGAGCCTTGGGCTACATTGCTTTATGAAGCACCTATGAAATGCTCTACCTCAGAAGGACATGCAGCTAAGGTCCCTGAGACATTATTTGCTTGCCAGGTTCCATGTACGGAAAGTCTCCTCAGTATGGGAATATAAAAATTAAGAAGATTACCCAGGACCAGCTCTAGATTTGTGAAGTGACTTCCAGCTTCTGAGAACCCTAACCATGATATATATATATAAAATGATAGACATGTGAAAACAAAATAAGGCACAAAAAAGAGAGTGTGAGACATACTTTGAATATTTTTTTATTTCACAAATGCTTGTCTAGTCATATTCTATCTCTGCCGCCCCACCCCCAAAGTTATCCAAATACCAAGCAACTAGTCACCTCTTTTAGCTACCATATGAAGATAATAACGAGAAATTCTCACATAAAAGTAATTCCTTAGTCAACTTGATGTGAAACTATAAGGACATAAAAATGTAACAGTTCTACACATTTCAACACCCACTTGACCCATTACCAGCCACTAGTAGTCTGCAATCTGCACTAGTACAGCAATCTGAGAGGAAATGTCCATGGCCATCTTACCTTGTGCCTTCAGAACCAAGTCATTTTTAAATTAATATTTATGAACATTTTAACTAGGCGGGATATCAAATCCAAACTCTTCTTCTTGTTAACTATTTAATATGACAAAAAATCAGGGCTTTTTTTCCAAGCCCAGAGTTCTGGCACCTTTCAGGTGGGTGCCATTGCCATTCAAAGTCAACAAGGGTGAGTTCATGGTGAGTTCTGGCACCTCTTTTTCTAAAAAGAAAAGCACTGCAAAACATATATCTATCTATCTATCTATCTATCTATCTATCTATCTATATCCCAATCACATTTTGTATTTGCTTAAATTTGCATCTCTAAGCTGATAGTATGTGCCATATTTTGCTTTGAGGCTGAAGAAAACAAGTTGCGAAGCTTATCAAATGCCCAAATATTAACAAGGGTCTACATGTGAGGTGCCCTTGGAGATTGGGGCCAAGCTCCCCCCCCCCCAATTATCCTTGCACACAGGCACACAATATTCCCCATCTTTCACAAGAAGTGGCTGAGAAATTTCCTGTTTGTTACTTGCACAGGAGTAGCTGCCACCAGCCCTGTTATTCCCCAACTCTGAGCTGGGCCACTGTGGAGCTGTGGGGATTCAAGAGAGCAGGAAATAACACATGTCAAGTCTACTAGTTGCTTGCTAGCCTAGATCTAACTAGTTATTCCTGCTTCACTCTCCTCAAAAATATTATACAGTGGTACCTCGGGTTAAGAACTTAATTCGTTCTGGAGGTCTGTTCTTAACCTGAAACTGTTCTTAACCTGAAGCACCACTTTTGCTAATGGGGCCTCCTGCTGCCGCTGCACTGCCGGAGCACAATTTCTGTTCTCATCCTGAAGCAAAGTTCTTAACCTGAGGTAATATTTCTGGGTTAGCGGAGTCTGTAACCTGAAGTGTATGTAACCTGAAGCATATGTAACCCGAGGTACCACTGTAATGTAACTGAGTGGTTAGTTAGCGAGTGGGATAGGTGCTGAGTTATACTTGCATGACACTTAAAGGTAAAGGGTAAAGGAACCCCTGACCATTAGGTCCAGTCGTGACCGACTCTGGGGTTGTGGCGCTCATCTCGCTTTATTGGCCAAGGGAGCCAGCGTACAGCTTCTGGGTCATGTGGCCAGCATTACTAAGCTGCTTCTGGCGAACCAGAGCAGCGCACGGAAACGCCGTTTACCATCCCACCAGAGCGGTACCTATTTATCTACTTGCACTTTGACGTGCTTTCGAACTGCTGGGTTGGCAGGAGCAGGGACTGAGCAACGGGAGCTCACCCTGTCGCAGGGATTCGAACCGCCGACCTTCTGATCGGCAAGTCCTACGCTCTGTGGTTTAACCCACAGCGCCACCCGTGTCTGCCTGACACTTACAACAACTGTAATTAAGATACATTTACTAGAGGGGGGAGGAGTGAACCATTGCCTTTTAAAGAAAAGAAAAAACAAAGTGCTTTATTAGCAGAAATCCTGAAGTACTTCAATGTACAGATCATCCTTTCCCGAACTAAGCCTGGGTTCTGTTTGTGGAAGAGGTCAGAGTTCCCTGGGTTGAAGGGGACCAGTGTACCTCCAGATGTTTTGGAGCAAACTCCCATCAGCCTTTGTCAGCATGGTCAATGTCTGGGATGATGAGAACTGTAGTCCACAACATCAGGAAGCACCACACTAGCTACTTTTGACCTTGGCCATAGAAGCTGGAGATAAACTATTTCCAAAAGCATGTTATATTTATGGGGCAGTTCTCAAGAGGAAAGGTGGAACAAGGATCCAATCAGAACAAGATTCTGACTGTCACAGGGCAGGTTTCATGTACATAGAATTTCTGAGCTCATGGACGTAGCTCCTAAAGGTGTAAAGATTAGGAGATGTTTCTGATCCTTTCAGATGCAAAAAAATGGGTCTATATGAGGATGTGCAATGAGAATTATGGTTGAGGAAGGTCTCTGGATAGAGTTGTACAGTCCAGGAGGTTTTATTATCAGGTTTGGCACAGTGCCATCTGGTGGAACCCCCCCCCCACCACTCAGTATACCTGAAGGAGCGTCTCCACCCCCATCGTTCAGTGCGGACACTGAGGTCCAGCTCTGAGGGCCTTCTGGTGGTTCCCTCACTGCGAGAAGTGAGGTGACAGGGAACCAGGCAGAGGGCCTTCTCGGTAGTGGCGCCCGCCCTGTGGAATGCCCTCCCATCAGATGTCAAGGAAATAAACAACTACCTGACTTTTAGAAGACATCTGAAGGTAGCCTTGTTTAGGGAAGTTTTTAATGTTTGATGTTTTATTGTGTTTTTAATATTCTGTTGGGAGCCGCCCAGAGTGGCTGGGAAAACCCAGACAGATGAGCAGGGTATAAATAATAAATTATTAGGATTATAACATTCTCTCTCTCTCTCTCTCTCTCTCTCTCTCTCTCACACACACACACACACACACACCATGAGCCCTGATGTGGAGACTTATCAGACAGTGGACAGCAACATTAGAACTCTGAGCACCAGATGCCAAGGGATTTAAATTTATTTCAATGCTCCTGTGTAACCCCTGCTATAGTATTGGTCCAGGGCACTGTGAGAAATGTGTGACAGTCTTCCTTGAGCTTTCTGGAGCTGCTGGAAAATGCCATGTTCTGACACCAGCCCTGGGGCCATGTAGGTAGGCAACTGCCACACCTACACCATTCTGGAAAATTATTCAGCCTCAGGAGCAGTGGGAGAAGGGACGGTGCAAGGAAGCAACTATAGTGGGGAGGAGCAGATTGGAAAACCACATTTTATGAGCAGAAATCTACTTGCTGGTGTCTAGATCCACATTTTATAATCCTGTACTAACCTACCAAATATAATGGATCATATAAATACTGGTTCCTGTAATTAATTTTTAGTGTGTGCAATACTATAAATACTGTAATTAGATTATTATTATTATTATTTTTGGAGGGTGAGGTCTTTTATGACTATGTTTGATTAGGAGCAAAAGAATAAATAAAGGTTACCTGGTGAGTTATAAATGACCAGCATTCCCCATCAGTTCTCATTTGTCCCCAGGAATTCTCATTTAGGCTGAGAGATTTAGGCTGATCTTGTGTTTAAAAGCTGGTATAAATATACCCACATTGCAATATAGCGCTGTATGTTCCTTGTTGGTTTTAGAAACTTCAGAAATATCTTAAGATGAACCAGGAGGCAAAAGGTGCCTGGAAATGTTTTTCAAAGTTTGCATTGAGAGGGGGGGAAAGAACCTTACATCTGTTCTTGGTATGAAAGTCAGCTGAACAGGCTTGTGTTGTTGTTTTCCCCAGGATGCCTTTCATGTTTCCCCCTCCTTCTCTTCAGAAAGCCAGCTATTTATTTATGCTCAAGGTAGGCCCATTCTTTTATCTCCTGGTGTACTGTAAACTAAAGCAATTAGCATACTGGAATTACAGTACAGTCTCTCTCTCTTTTTAAAAAACCCTCTGTCAATATTATTTTTGGAGGGAAACCTCTTAATGAACTGTAGACAAATAACAACAACAGGAACGGTTGCTTGGTGTTCAGCAACGAAAGTTGTTGCTTGTAAGTCACAACGCCACATGCGATGAGCCCATGAATAAAAATGAGAGGGCAGCCCTTTGACAGGACCCCATCTGCAAGCATCCAAGAAAGCGTCTCAAGTGTTGTGTATTTACCAGATGTTGCTAAGAGCTCTCACTGGAGCAAGCATTGGCTTGCCTGGCCTTTGTACACTTTTAAATTATTTATTATTATTTATTATTATATATTTATTTATACCACACCTTGTCCCCAGATGGGACTCAAGGCAACATATGCATAAATTTATTTATCTCAGAAATGTTTCAGTGGGCATCAAATGCGTTACACTAGGAGCATAATTCCATAGCCCTTTAGAATTATTGTGCCCAAACAGTCCTGACTGACTGACTGACTGACTGACCCATGGAATCCATATTGCCTAAGGTGGGCCACATTCACACCATACATTTAAAGGCCTGTAATGCCACTTTAGAGGGATGCCGGTGGCACTGTGGGTTAAACCACAGAGCCTAGGACTTGCCGATCAGAAGGTTGGCGGTTCGAATCCCCGCAACGGGGAGAGCTCCTGTTGCTCGGTCCCAGCTCCTTTCAACCTAGCAGTTTGAAAGCACGTCAAAGTGCAAGTAGATAAATAGGTACCACTCCAGCGGGAAGGTAAATGGCATCTCCGTGCGCTGCTCTGGTTCGCCAGAAGCGGCTTAGTCATGCTCGCCACACGACCTGGAAGCTATACGCCGGCTCCCTCGGCCAATAAAGCGAGATGAGTGTCGCAACCCCAGAGTCGGTCACGACTGGACCTAATGGTCAGGGGTCCCTTTATCTTTACCTATTCTCCTCACAGAGCTACTATTTCCAGTGTTTCCAGTGAAAAGGGATAAATTGTGAAGCCACTCTGAAAGCTGTAGCTCGGTGAGGTTCTCCTAATGACCCACTGAATTGGTTGCAAGTAAAGAGGTAGGTGGGTGAGGACAGGCTGAGGCTGGTGGAGGAGCACCCAATTCAGCCTACTGGACCAGCCTTCACTGCACACAAGAGTCATTTACTAAAATCATCGCATGGCCATGGGAGTCATATTCCTTTACCACTTTTCATATTTCTCCAGTCTTCTCTCTCCCCACCCCACTCCACAATATCTCCTGCTACTTCCCATCCTTGCTTTGCCAGTTTACAGTACTCCAATCCCTGTTCTTGACTTTTATATATTTTGGGCTCTCTAGGTCCTAACTTACAACATGTAGATGGCGCAGTTTAAGGTAGTTTTAGGCTCTGGGTTTTGCAGTCTTCTGGAGCGGGTAGATACTTTGGGGGACCCTCCTCTTCATTCTGTGGAGTGGCTCCCTTGACTTCTCCCCCAAAGGCCTGCCCTGTGACCCTGGTACGCCCCATTAATGTCTATCCACTTTATCAGCTCAAATGTTTGGAGATATGTAACTGGCTTCTGAGTCATGAATTGTAATTCTCTACTCTAAGGGAATTTTCAATTCACGAACACCATGAACTACACTAGGGGATCCCTATTTGCATCCCAAAAGTGATGATTGGATTTGGAAGATGGACGTAAAACTTCACCAGAGTAAGTCCATGAAGGAAATTGGGATCTGTATCTAACATAATATTTGATCTCTGTTCTGTCCTTAAAAAAAAAATCTGTTTCAGATACTTTCTCCGTTCAAGGTTCAGTACTGTTTTCTGTTTTTATATCTATATTTCTATGTTATAGAAATATATATTTCTATGTTATATTTCTATATTATAGAAAGCCTATAACAAGTTGTTTTGGTACTCCCATTCTATGAATACTTGTCCCTCTCCTTATCCTACAATCTATGATCCCTTGGAGGTCACATGGGAGGAACTTATTCCGCAACCTCCATCTTGGAACTGAGTGTACAAGTTGAACTTGTGGCTACAACAGCAGCATAAATTGTGTGTGTGTGTGTGTGTGTGTGTGTGCTTTCCTTGTTGCCCCAGTCCCTACTTTCTGTAACATATTTTTCCCTGATGAAGAATTCTGGAGAACTCAGATGATTGCTACAATTTTTGACATTTTGATTTATATAGATTGATAGAGGACCCTTCCTTTTAATAAATAAATAAGTTTCCAGTTTGATTGTATTTCTGTATGCAGTCAGCATTTACATATAATTGCATAACACTACACTGAAAGCACCACTGAGATTTGAGGTTCCAGCCATCGATCATGCTAAGGCCTGTTTAGAAAGCCACACATGTGGAATTCTTCCTAGCATCCAGACCCATTTGGAAATATTTTAATCCAGGAAAATATGGGTGACAGATCCTTTACCATAGCAGCACAAACAGCCACAAGTGTAATAATGAATCCTGTATGTGTACATATGTGGAAAGCTTGATGCTAGCTGTTTTTAAAACAAGCACTTCAGCTGGACAGAAGGAAAAACATCATACTCCATTTCATTCCAATGATCCTGAAAATTGGTGGGAGGGTTTACTCAGGCAGGGAGAAACTGGTAACAAAGTTTGCCATTAACTCTTCCTTCGCCATGTTTTGAATGATGCTGTTTTTAGAGTAATTCCACAAAACTAGCCATGCTAATGGATTTACTGCCCCCAGAAAATAAATCAACCAAGATGATCATTATGGCATTTGAGAGACTAACTGGTTTATTGTGGCACGAGTTTGTGTAGGCAGTACCCTACATCAGATGCATGAAATAGACCATGAAGGTAGCAGATATATGTGTGGGCTGAAGTCTACTGTAGGACATAGTAGATTGCAAATAAGAAAAAGCGCATTATACTGGACCACTGTATGTGCATGATGAATATAACTAAATTTAATGCAGTTTCATTTTGGTAATGTCTTCCATCTCAGTGCTTAAGAAGAAGGTGCATTTGCTTTCTTCCTATAGCGTAACTGGAAAAGTAAAAATCCCAACCTCGTGTGTCCATTGTAGAAGCTAGAAAATGTAAGTTTGCAGGTCATTCCTTTGTATCAAGCTGGGCAAATTGCAGAGGTTGACAATGATGACCAACGTGCAAGGATGCAAGATGTGTTGTTACAAACAAGTCAGTGTGATCCTCAGGCCTCTGCACTTCCCTTCATGTGCACAGGGCAGCAATTTAAAGCTTCTTGTCCTGTTTTTGGCCCCTTAAACATTAGTTTCCTGTTTCTGATTAATATGGGAGTTTGTAGCCAGGATGAATATCAAACCAGGATATCAAACTGAGTTTGCTTAAAAAGGAAATGTGTGTGTGTGTGTGTGTGTGTGTGTGTGTAGACTAGGAATGGAAGTTTAAAACCTTTCCCCACTTGTGTTCAAGTGTGGGCTCTAAACAAGTGTGCTCTAAACAAGTAACCATGCTGTTTGGTCTGAACTGGGTGCATGTCTTCACTAGCCAGCTCAGTCAATTCAAGATTCCAGTTCAATTCTCCATCCTCTGTGATGTTGTTGTTGTTTAGTCGTTTAGTCGTGTCCGACTCTTCGTGACCCCATGGACCAGAGCACGCCAGGCACTTCTGTCCTCCACTGCCTCCCGCAGTTTGATCAAACTCATGCTGGTAGCTTCAAGAATACCATCCAAACATCTCATCCTCTGTCGTCCCCTTCTCCTTGTGCCCTCCATTTTTCCCAACATCAGGGTCTTTTCCAGGGAGTCTTCTCTTCTCATGAGGTGGCCAAAGTATTGGAGCCTCAGCTTCACGATCTGTCCTTCCAGTGAGCACTCAGGGCTGATTTCTTTAAGAATGGATATGTTTGATCTTCAATATCCTCCGTGATATACAGAGGATATACAGATCTTCAATATCCTCTGTGATATACGCAGGCAAAATAGCGACAGCCCGGGCTTTTTCTCCCCCAACCAGAACTCAACAGAATTCAGTTCCAGCACCTCTCAGGTGGGCACCATTGCCATTCTAAGACAATGAGGGGAATTTCCTGGTGAGTTCCGACACCTCTTTGTCTCAAAAAATAACACTGGCGAACCTCTTTTTCTCAAAAAATAACACTGGCGAACAATAGCCACACACAAGAGAGAGCTGTCAGCAGATTGAGTGCAACTCTGAAGTTTGCAGTAGTACGGAACGAATCTGTAGAAACATTTCCCCACAGAGAACCCAGAGAAGATTGAGTGTAACCAGTGCCCACAGAATGCTAACTTCTAGGAATGGGGGAAAACAAAACTCGAGGGGAGTTGGGAATAATGCCCACAGGAACTTGGGCTAAATGCTATGGGATACTTCAAGATTCACAGGCAAGGCAAGTTCCCATTTGTTCACTGCTTGTTTCTTTCATCAAACACTTAATAATGTATAGTGAGGAGCTGGTGCGTGACTGAAGATGCATGATAAACATCGACGCTGGTATGCATCTCCCTCCTTCATGGTTTACAGTGCTCTGTGAAGCATGCTGTAGTGTAGACAAACAGAAACTTGTCTGTCCCGTAACATTGGAAGTTGTCCCAAGTCAAGCATGAAGAACCAATGTCTGGCATGTGGACTTTCTAAGAGAGATCAGCATGCAGGGAACTAGATTCCCCTCCTCTCTTTTTCATGTTTCTTGTGAATCCATGTGGATGTTACATTCCATTGAAGCTTTTTTATTATTAAAAAAAATGTATTATTTCTCCATGGAAAACAAATATGCCCATAGTGAATAGTTTGCAGGGCTGAGCCTCTGACCTAGACTGGGTGGATGTACGACAATTACTCTGTCCCTTTCTTAAGGGTTTAATCACAAGGTTGAAAACTCTGCAACATTCAGTCAGGATGGAGCTGAAGGCTGAAATGTCACTTTTGAAACAGGGTTAAGAAGGTCGCACAGCTGCAAATAATAATAGCTCGATGAAAATCAGATTCTGACTGCAACCCACTTCAAGAATAACATTGGAACAGGAAACAAGCCTGCGTGATATTCTTACGAGTTAAGCCGTACAAATTTTAGCAGATATTTTATTTAGTTATTTGTTTTTTATGCAGAGACTGAAAGGAGAATAGGGTCCAGTGATTTCACGCCATTCCTTTCCAGCAGTTGTGCAAAGACAACGTTGTGCTAATCTGATATACCCACAAGGGTAAGATACAAAGTGAGCAGTGAAATATTTGAGGAGTGGTCATTTGAGGAGTGGGCTTGTTGTTTAACGTGCTGTATTTTTGAATTCTTTTTTTGTTCTCTGGAGGTGTTTCCAAACCTGTGGAAAATCTGAAGGGCCAAAACCCCCAAACTTCAGGTTACTTAAATATGTCTGTAATTTGTGCCTGGCTGTGTTAGGGACCATGCTTTGCAATGTATATTCACTAACCCCATGACAGATTGACAGTGAGGCTGTTCCCATGTTGGGCTGAGGTGGAGATACTGGTGGCCCTGCTCTCCTTTCACGTCATTTGTCAAGCAGCCTCTGCATCTCCCTCCAGGAAAATATTTGCTTGGAATCTAAGACAGTGAGAGAGGCTGTTTACCAGCACCTGCCCCACATTGGTCTTGTTTCTGAGTTTGAAATGTGGGAAGAGCTTGAGGTGGATTATGAGTGGGCTGCCTTGGTGTATAGACAGGAAGGCATTGAAGAGGGGTTGTGACTAAGTTGATTTTGATGTATGGGGAACATGGGTTGGATACGGAATGGCCATGCTGGCAGGTTATGGGTGCTAGAGCAAGTAAATGGCAGGTTATGGGTGCTAGAGCAGTTAAGGCAGTGCCACAGGGAAGGGTTAGGGTGGCATGTAGGTGGGAAGGGTTTGAGCAGTCGTGGCAACATCTCTCCTTCCTGCCCGAAGGCATCTTGCTCAGGGTTCCTTCAAACTTGGCAGTACCACTGAAGATGTACCTGGACATTGTAATCTCTCTTGTTCAATTTTAAACACGTGTTTTGAGATGGAGGTAGTGGTGGTAGTGGATTAATTTACACAAGAATATTGCAACAATATTTGGGTTTTATTTCCAATATATGCGAAAAAGTCCCTTCCCCTTATTGCGTATCATTGGCATCTTGAGAGACAACAGAGTGCGCCTCCGGAGGTGAAGCTAAACTGCTGGAGAATCACAGTGCCTGCTGTGGCTGTAGAGACCAGTAACTCATAAGTGCTGCCTCCTGTGTTGTTTTTGCTGCCTTAGCAGCACTGAAGTGAGCTCTCTGGGGTGCAGGCTTGGACATTGTGTATGGAGGTCCTGGGCTGCCCAGACAACATGACCCTCCTCTCAGCCTTGCTGATGTGGTCCAAAGGAAAGGAGAGCAATACGTTTTACACCAACTTGGCTGCAGGAGTTGCCTATGTATGATATGTACCGTATTTTTCGCTCCATAAGACACACCTGATCATAAGACGGACCTATTTTTTAGAGGGGGAATGCAAGAAATTTTTTTTCTTTAAATGGAGTGCTGAGCAGAGCCTGTATGCATCCCAGGCTCTGCTCAGCGCTCCCTTTCACAAGCTGCGCGGAGCGTGTGTGCGGCACTTGCAGGCTTTTCCCCAAGAGCCGCACACACGCTCTACGTGGCTCTTGGGGGCTTTTCCGGGAGGTGGGGGAAGGGACTGAGGGGCTAAGCCAGAAGCTAGAACAGCAAGAGGGAGTGCTGCACAACGATCCCTCTTGCTGTCCTGGCTTCTGGGATAGCTGCGCGAAGCCTCTTCAGGGCAGCGGGATGAAGGCTCCCACTGCCCTGAAGAGGCTTCGCGCAGCTGAGCCAGAAGCTAGAACAGCTAGAGGGAGCGCTGCGCAGCAATCCCTCTTGCTGTTCTGACTTCTGGGATAGCTGCGCAGACTGCATTCACTCCATAAGACGCACACACATTTCCCTTACTTTTTAGGAGGGAAAAAGTGTGTCTTATAGAGCGAAAAATACGGTATGTATATATATGCAGCTTATCACAGTCACACAAGCAGTTTGTGAAGATTATAGAAAAGTCAGAATGCACTCCCTCTCCATAGCTATGTGAATTACCCATTAGAGAATACACATTAAACAATATTGATGTGAACACAGTTCTGTCTTCAGCCAATCTTTATCCACACTCTTTCAGTCTGAATGCCATGTATCTTTCTGCCTCGTGCTGAGTGAGTGATATTTCATCAGTGTGTCAGGCTTCAACAATGCAATGGGTTTCCTAGCATATGTAGGCTGCCAATACCGTGCTTTACTTGGTCACTACAGGGCAATGAATTTTGAAAGATGTTGTTAACATCTACATTAAATCCTAAGCTTCTTTTCACTTGCACAACTACGCTAATACTTTCAAAAACTGGCATATAATGATTACAAGTACAATTGTTTCGATTCTGAAATTAAGATGTCAGTTCCCATATATTTTATTATATACCATATGTCCGGAATTTTCTGGATGTAGCCAGCATTCAGTCCTCGCAAACAGTGTCCAGGTGGAAATTGCTGAAATGTCTGGGGAAACCATGGCGTATGGCCCATGTCAGTAGTGTAGATTTGGATGACTTTAATTAAAAATAGCTCAAAACCTCATTTTTTAGCTCAACAACTTTTTTTGGGGGGAGAGAAAAAGAAAAACGCTCAACAACTCTAATTTCACTTACTTAAGTTCAGTGGGATATCCTTTCTGCGGACTAAGGGTTTGTGGAGATATTATCATTCTGCACGGTCTCAACCCTATCTGTACTTGATCTTTGAACTCTTTGGTCTGCTGTCTCTTTTGTATAGTCCTGTGCTGAATTCTTTTTAATGAGATCTGACACAAAGAATCCTGAAAGGGTGGGCTAATTTCACAAGGGATGAAAATCTTTGCAAAGTGCTCCCTCTGCAAAGTCTGAATTCCACCCTGTTTTCCTGTTATACAAGCTGGTCTTCCACCATGACATGTTCCTTTGGTCTTCCTGTAGCATCTGTACCAGCCAGCTTTACTTCGCCTCATGTTCCTGAGCAGCAGAAACATCTATGTCGAGGCGGGTTGAGGAGGGAAAGTTCATTCTACTTACTGCTGCACTAGCTGCAAAAGTTCTGCTTTGTACAAAGCAAAGTGCTGTCCTGGGTGATTCTCCAAGGCCAGCCTTTGATTTCTTAGTACCCCAAACTGTTGACCCGTGAGCAGCACTTCAGATGCAGCTGCTGCTATCATACCCTCCAAATGTCCTGATTTCCCAGGGGCATTCCTGGAATTACGAAAGCCATCATGGCTTCTGATTTGATGCTGGAATGTCCCCATTTTCCCTACCAGAAAATTTTTTTTACCAGGAGTTTGTTTTTATCTTTATTCATTTTAAGACCTCCAATTTCTCCAATTTTTTTTATCTCTTCTAGTGCTTTCGGGAGTGACTCTGTTGGTTCTTCTACAGATATCACCACATCATCTGCGAAAGCTTTTAATTTATATTTTCTCTCTCCCACCCCTATTCCTTTAATTTCTTGATTACATCTTCTTCTTTGCACCAAAACTTCTAAAACTATTATAAACAATAAAGGTGACAGTGGACAACCTCATCTAGTTCCTTTGGTTATTTTGCAATTCTCAGCCAGTACATTATTTACTAGCAATTTTGCTGGTTGTTCAGTATATATTGCCTTTTTTATAAAAGTATATATTGCCTCTTTTATAAAAATGTCTCCGTAATTTCATTGAAAATTGCTTCTTGTGTTAAAATTGCTAAAGCTCCAGAAAATTGCGGCCGAGCCTGTTTCACATGTTACAGAAAATTTAGTCCCACATTCATAGATAATCCTGTAGTTTTATTCAGATTAAGATATGTTCAGTTGTCAGCTTCCACTGAGGAAAAAGTAAGACTAAGAAAATCCCACTTTATAATGGAAGAAAGAAAAGGAGAGCTGTGACCCACCTTATTTCTCCCTCTAGTTTCTATGTAATATTTCAACTGAATACTGCCCTGCTGCGTACAGTTCTTTTGATCGAAGACAATTGTTTGTGGGTTGCCATAAAATTTTCTCACCAGCTTTTCCCTCTTATTTAGATAGCACCAGCAGAGCAATAAAGGCCTGTGTTGAAATAGCAACAGACTCTTCGCTTGAAGTTTGCCTCTTGACCCAGAGTTGAAGAATGTGAGCAGGACAGTGTGGTACCTTCTTCTAATAAATGTAAAGTGTAAGTTTCTCAAAGCCTTTCACTTATATGAAGCATTTTTAAGATTTATTAACACAAAATGAAAAAGGGTATTTTTGGAAATATTAATTTCTGATAAGTAAGAGATTTCTATGGCGTCCTGATGCATATCCATATTAGAGTTGTCCAATGTAATATAAGCAAGCAAGCATGGCATTAGTCTATTTCAGAAAGAAACCACTATACAGTGGTACCTTGATTCTCAAATGCCTTGGTTCTCAAACACCTTGATTCTCAACCAGAAGTACTGGTTGAAAACCCAGAAGTAAGTGTTCCGGTTTTTGAACAGTTTTCAGAAACCGAACGTCTGATATGGCTGTCGGCTATTGTTTCTGGGGCACCTGCACCAATCAGAAGCTGCGCCTTGGTTTTCGAACATTTCGGCAGTCAAACGGACTTCCGGAATGGATTAAGTTTGGCGCTTTTGTTTTTGGTATTTATTTTGCATTTTTGTTTTTGAGATTTTTTTGGTTAATTTGTTTTTGTGACTGTGTGGAACCCAGTTCAGCTACTGATTGATTGATTGTGTGGCTGTGGAAATGGATAAAAGCCCCCCATCTAAACAATGACTATCATCAGTGCAGGTAAGAAAAAACAATAATTTTAATTTTTATCATCTACAATACTGTCTTTATTTATTTTATAGTACAGTACATTGATTATTGCTTTCATTGTATGGATCAAAGGTCTCATTAGATAGTAAAATTCATGTTAAATTGCTGTTTTAGGGGTTGTTTTTGGAACGAATTAATCTGTTTTGCTATGGGAAAGCGTGCCTTGGTTTTGGAATGCTTTGGTTTTGGAACAGACTTCCGGAAGGGATGAAGTTTGAGAACCAAGGTGCCACTGTAGTTTGCTCAAGGGCCAGCTTGTCCTGCTAACCTGGAAATGACTCACTGCAGTTTGTTTGTTTCAGATGACATATGTGTTTATCAGTGTAAGGAAACAATATTATAGCCACCCTAGTAAACACAGCTTGCAATTTGCAAGCATCAGTGTGTACTACACTGTGTTGCAGGGCATTGGACTAGATGAATCTTGGGGGGTCCTTTCCAACTCTACAATTCTATGATTCCACAAGTCTACTGGAAATCTCCTCCTCCTCCAAATCAATGATTGGTAAAAGCCAATGAAACATGATCACATGACCCATTTTCAGATCTACCTTCCTGGTGTCACTTATAAGGTTCAATAGCCTTGATAACTAGAGAAGTCCAAATGTATATAATCTACAATTGTTTAAACTATCGCAACAGCAGCCAGCAGTGAAATATGGGAGTGGAATATCAACTTCCCACACTTTCACCAGCTTCACAGTTTGTGAGAGGTTTGCTATATCAACCAAGAATGCCAGTCCCCAAAAATGGGACAATAATGTGACAGAATCTCCAGATTTTTAAGTTAACAAATATCCCTGTAAAATTGAATCTTAATGACTCAGAGATATACAGTAGATGAAATGGATGTAATTTCTTGCTAACGAGTTCATTGGAAGTTCTAAACTGAATAAGCATGAGTTGCTATTTTATGGATGAAGGTAGCAAAGCAATGGAAAGCAACTTGGGACTACATTTTCCACAAGGAATGTTCCAGAACTGAAGCGAGTTTTTCCACAGAGTGACATGGTCAAAACTGTTTTTCCAACCAGGATCCAGATATTTGCAATTTAGGGTATTGGTTTCCCATTATATAACCAATTGAGGCTTATGTAAACCCTGCCCCCCCCCAAAAAAAGAATGCTCCTGCTCAACATTCCAAATATATAGTATATTCTTAATATTGCCATGGGGGAGGAATAATTTCAAGTGATTCTTTTAGCTCTTCCCCCTTCTTCCTGTGCTGAAGTCACATTGCATCTTTCCACACATTAAAAGAAAGAGAGAGAAATGCAGTGGCTCAGTTGTCAGGTTGTGTAAAGTCTTTTTTCTCCCCTCATCCGCAATGTGGGGGCAGAATGATGGAACATTATTTTCAATAAATTCATGCAAAGGATAACAGATGGATTATATATGCTTTGTTTGTTCATGCAAAAAGGTTCTTGTATACCTTCAGAGGTTATTTCCTTAAACTCATTATTTGGACAGCAAGGGTTCGATCTGTTATGGAGGAAGTGCCTGTGGATCCAATCCTATATTGGAATGGATCAAATCTAAAAGAGTGCTTTCCCCAATATCAACCAACTTCAGCCCTATGATCAGCAAAGGAGGCTCAGTTGGTGGTTGGTGGTGACCCACAGCCTTGGTGGTGGTCCCCAACTTTTGCAGTGCCCTCCCTTGTGAAGTGCTTCCATTTCCTTCAGTATTAACTTTTAGGAGAAATTTTAAAAGATTCCTGTTTACTCATGCATTTGATTATTAGTTAAAGAATACCTAACGGATTTTAGGAGTTTTAAATTTTCTTTTTAGAAGGTTGTTTTTAAACTGTTTTATAGCAGCTGTTTCTTTAGAACTGTTTTTAGAGGTTTTCATTGTATTGTTTGATGATCGCCATCCTGGGCTCATTTGGAGGAAGGTGCAGAATATAAGTTTAATAAATACATCAATAAATAATATTTAACCTTATCTTCTTAATACTTAATCACTGCTCAAGATAATCACTTCAGAGTCTTAGAAAAGGCTCTTAAGCATTATGTTTGAAGTGATAATCACTAGAAGAGGCAAAGGTAAAAAGGTATACAGTATTTAATTTGTGATATTTCTGAATAGCATCGGTAGTATTATCTAATAATAACACTGAGAATAATTTTTCTCCAGATAGAAACTTCCTCTGACAGGATAATTCTGTCTTTGTTCTAAGTGCACAAATATGCTCTGGAAGGGCACTTATGAGCAGACACTAGGAAGTTTGATTTTAGGAGTTAAGGGTGGGTGGTAAAGTTTCTGTGTCTTGTGGATGTTTTTTTATGGGGGCCCAGGCAACAATACTTTCTGTGTTTTCTGAAGTTTTAGGGGTTCCCTTTCCCTCCTTTCCTTTTAACATGTAGATTCATGAGGAATCAAAGATGAATTTGGAACAGGAGAGGCCTTTTGTCTGCAGTGCCCCAGGCTGCTCACAGGTGAGTTGAATGGCTAAGAATACAAACCAAGTCTATAGTTGTATCATAACATCTTCTGGTGTATTAACATGTATCTGGTCTTTTATACATTTATTACGGATTTTTAAAGGCTGTTTGATGTTGCTTGGATATTTTGTTTTAGATGGTGTTGTTATTGTATAAACCAGTGGTTCCCAATTGGTGGCCTGCGGGCCTCTGGGGGTCCGCCTAACCCACCCAGGGAGTCCGTGGCACATACCCATCAACTGTCCAAGGCATCTAATTTTGGGGGACCATGCTCATGGAGTTGTACAGCCCAGAAGACACGCATCCTGGTTTTGTGCTGGGACATGTTGGAGGGTATGGTGACACCATTCACCTAACAAAAACTACCACAGAGATTCCAACATTTTCAAAAGCCATTGCTTGGCTTTTGAAAAACAGGAGGTCCTCAGTACTTAGCTAATTGGGAACCACTGATAGAAACTATATTTAGGATGCTGTAGCACCATTCAACTATCCTGTGGCACTGTGGGTTAAACCACAGAGCCTAGGGCTTGCCGATCAGAAGGTCGGCGGTTCAAATCCCCACAATGGGGTGAGCTCCCACTGCTCGGTCCCTGCCCCTGCCAACCTAGCAGTTCGAAAGCACATCAAAGTGCAAGTAGATAAATAGGTACTGCTCCGGCAGGAAGGTAAATGGTGTTTCCGTGCACTGCTGTGGTTTGCCAGAAGCGGCTTAGACAGGCTGGCCACATGACCCAGAAGCTGTACACCAGCTATCTCGGCCAATAAAGTGAGATGAGCGCTGCAACCCCAGAGTTGTCCGCGACTGGGCCTAATGGTCAGAGGTCCCTTTACCTTTTACCACCACCCCAAAGATCCTGTGGGAGGAAGGGCAAGACAGAAATAATAAATTAAAAAAGGCACGTAACACAATTATGTAGCTAAGCTATACAGCTGTCACTAGTCCAGTGAATACAGTGGTGCCTCGCAAGACGAAATTAATTCGTTCCGCAAGTCTCTTCGTCTTGCGAGTTTTTCGTCTTGCGATGCACGGTTTCCCATAGGAATGCATTGAAAATCAATTAAGGCGTCCCACGGTAAACCGCCTTCAGACCCGGGCCGGGGACAGTCTGGCCCCGGACCTCTTCTGAAGGCTGGGGGGGGGGCAAGGGCTTTTGATCCCACCCCCACCATTTAAAAAAACCCCGGGACAGCGGAGCACTAAACCGCTGTCCGGGCGAACTTAAAATGCTGGCGGGGGGCATTTTAAAACCACCCCGGGACAGCGGAGGACTTCTCCGCTGTCCGGGGCAATTTAAAAGCCCCTGGGAAGGCAGGCAGGGGGACAAAGACTTTGCCCTCGCCAGCCTTCAGAAGAGGTCCTGGACCTCTTCTGAAGGCGGGCGGGGGCGAAAGTCTTTGCTCCCCGCCTTCAAAAGCCCTCCGGGACAGGCAGGCAGGGGAGCAAAGACTCTCGCCCCGCCCGCCTTCAGAAGGTCTTCCCTCCCCCGCCCGGCTCGGAGCACCGTCCGGAGCCGGGCGGCGGCGGGAGGTCTTCCCTCCCCCCGCCCGGCCTCGGAGCACCGCTCCGGAGCCGGGCGGCGGCGGGAGGTGCTCCCTCCCCCGCCCGGCTCGGAGCACCGCCCGGGCCGGGCGGCGGGGGAGGTCTTCCTCCCCACCGCCCGGCTCGGAGCACCGCTCCGGCCGGGCAGAGGCGGGAGGTCTTCCTCCCCCCGCCCGGCTCGGAGCACCGCCCGGCCGGGCGGCGGCGGCAGGTGTTCCCTCCCCGCCCGGCCCGGAGCACCGCCCGGCCGG